TATACGTCCACATCAAAACGCCTCCCCAGCCCCCCCCCCCCCCCCCTCCTTCCCCCCCCCCCCCCCCCCCCCCCCCCCCCCCCCCACCCCGCGCTTGCTCGACCAAGACCTTCCGCGCGCCTACCTTCCTCACCTCCTCAAAACATCCAATTTCTTCGTCATAACAAGCCTCCTCGCCACCATCACAATCGCCTCCCGCTTCTCCCTCTCAATATGCCCCGTCCCCAGCTTCGCCGGCGGCCCGAACACGTCCCAGACCTCAAGATACTTGTGCTGGCTCGCCGCCGTCGTGCCGATAGCATGAAACGCAGCCTCCATCCCGTGCCGTGTCTTCAGGTTGCGTAGATCTTCAGCCGTGACCTGCTGCTGCCGGCCCTGCGCGTTGGCCACGACGGCATACTGCACAGCGAACTGCACGCAGTACAGCGCCAGCGCCGCCAGGCCTGCTGCCAGCGCCGTCGCCACGCTCGACCCGGTCAGCCTGCCGCCGCTGTTGTCGAGATCGCTGCCGGGACGGCTCCGCAGCACGTTGGCCCCGGGAAACAAGAAGTCCACGGGCACTGCGCCTAGCCATTCGTACGCTTCACCCGAGGCTTCTGCCGCGCCGATGTGGATGCATGGCCCGCCCGCCGCAGCGGGGTAGGTGCGGGTCGTGTCAGCGCCTTGGTCAGGCGCGGCGCAGAAGAGGAGGATGTTGGCTTTGGCGGCGTCGGTGAGGGCGGTGCTGAGGTGCGCGATGTGGTCTTTGTTTTGGGGCGTGGCTTCGAGGGTCCAGGACATGGAGATGATGTCGACGCCGAGGTCGATGGCGGCGCGGACGGCCTGTGGTGGGGATTGGTTGGTCAATGTGTTTGGGGAGGGGCTGGGGTGGAAAGGGAAGGGGTGGGAGTGGACGGACTTGCGCCGCGCTTTCGGCTGTGATCTGGCGTTTGCCTTGGGCGCCGATGTATTCGTCGAGCCTGAGCATGAAGAGCTCTGCGTTGGGGCAGACCCTGCAGATTTGGTTTGCCATGACTGTGCCGTGGCCGCCGCTGGTGACGAAGTACGAGGCGTGGTTGTTTCTGGAGTTGTGGCGGCAGAAGCTGCGGCCGCCGATGATTTTGCTGTTGAGGCCAGGCTCGCTGATATCGTATCCGTCGTCGATCAATGCTACAGTGACTGGTGGAACTTGGTTCAACCCGGAGTCGTCAAGCTTAACGCTTTGAATGAAATCGGCGAATTCTTCCATGCATGTGATCCATTTGTGCTGGTCTTGAGGTTGCGCGAGTGTGGTCCTGTGTTTACCGTCGGATCCATGGACTTTCGGAGACAGCCTTTCGTGTGAATAGTCAACCTGTATATCCGGGGGTAGAATTTGTTGATCAGAGTCTTTGGTCTCGCGGGCTATCTCGGAGCGCAATTTCTCACGGTTTCTTCTCAGCCTGTTAGAAAAGCTGTTCAGGTTCCTCTTAACCCTTGCACGTGTTTCAAGCCCCTATACTATTAGTAACTTCGTAACAGGTCTGAGCCTGAAGCTTACCTGAGTCTCAAAGACCGTGACCTTTCTCAGATTCCTCAATTTATTCAACCCCTCTGGCTCGCTCCAGCTTCGGAGCACAGCTTCATTCCCGGTCCAGTACAGGTATACCTCTTCTACGTTCTTGGCAGCCTTGAAGATCGTCTCGGAGCTGAGATCCGATCTCTGCCAGTCCCACAGTTTCATTACCTCGATACTCTTGAGAGCCTCTTCTATAGTCTCCTCACTATGCGAAGGCTCCTTAAGATCGTTGACTGAGAGGTTGAGGATGCGTTTCACGCCCTTCTTACGCAGCCATTCGAAAACCACAGCATAGTCGGTCCGGCCGTGTCCATCCGGAACAGCTATCTTAGGGGCAAACTTTGACGGAGCCGGTCTTTCAATTTCGAGTTGCGGGAGTTCGACGTAGCGGAGTGTATCCTCAAACTTGAAGTGTCTTGAGTCTTCCAATATCTGCTTGCTCAAGGTGGCCGGCCCGTCAACCAGCGAGAAGAATAGTTCTTTTTCTGTAGTGTCCGGTCAACCATCTCAAAGCACCTATAGTATAGCTCCTGGGAACTTACGCTGTATGGCCCCATACAGGAACGACACGGTGGCCTCGTGGTCTCTCTTGGAATTTATCATGAAGCGTAACTTCAAAAGGTCTCGAATCTCGTTCGCCGACTCTTCTGTGACGCTTTCTTCCTCTGCCTTCTTCTTCCCATCAGCCTTCTTCTTTCCTTTCTTGCGTGCTTCAACATCTGTGACCGTAGGGCTCTGTGCGGCACTCAGGTGAGCCATACCAGAACTCTTCCCTAATGACTTCAGAACCTGTCCGTCACCATGGACGGAGAACACGTCAGGAGCAATCTGGATCGTTGGCGCTCGGCGAATTCCCTGTAAAGGCATTTCTCCACCAACATTCATCTCCGGCCTTATCATCGCGACCGCATTCTCACGCGGCGCCGGGACCGGGGCTGGCGCTTGTGGAGTCAAGCCTTTGCTGATGTTCGGTTGGCGGTGATTTTGGCGACTTCTATTTTTTTCTTGATCGGCTGCAGCGTTTTTGGCCTTCTGCTTCTCCACGTACTCACGGCGTGTCTGCTCGTGGTAGCGGTACACGGAAAGCTCGCGGGGATCGCCACTGATATTTGCATCAAGCGCCTCGTCACAAGTGTCGAGGAGTTTGCGCGCGACGCGCAGCTGCGAAGGTACGCACCGGTCGTATTCAACTGCGATGTGTAAGGGAGTTCGGCCGGCGAGGTTCTTGCGACGCAGGCACTGTCCGTCGTGCACGCGCGCGATGATATCGAGGGTGATCTTGTACGAGTTGCTAGCACTGACTTGTAGAGCCTCGTGTAAGCAGTTATTGCCTTGGGAGTCGGTGATGAACAGGATTTCGTCGACATCGTGGTTCGCGTTCATCGCATCGCACATGATCTCGACAAGGGTTGTGCGTTTCTTCTTGATGGCAAGCTGCAGAGGTGTCTTGTCATTGGCATCTTTCGCCTTCATCAGGTTTGGGTGGTGCTCGATGAGGTACCCCAGAAGCGGTTTCAGTTTCTTGGTGGCGTCGCGAGTCTTCTTCCGGTCGGCGGCGATCAGGTGGAGGATTGTGTCACCCTCCTCGGTTGTATCCTTGAGCTCTTCTTTGTGGTGTTTGAGGACTTCGTCGAGCCTTGGCGGCTCGGAAGACGTGAGATCTTTGATGAGCCTTTCGAATAGAGCGCTGGTTGTGTCGTTTTCCTCGCCGCTACTGGTTGAATCCGAGTTGTCTTCTATGTTGTCTCCGGTCTTGATATCAGGATCATCGTGCATGTTCACATGTGCCATTTTGGCTGTGGAAAGCTCCCTGGCGGGTTTGAAAATATAAGGTACGTTCTACTCCACAGGAAGAAAGACGTGGGGGTTGTGGTGGGACCAGCCTCGCCGGGCCTCTTGTTGCCAGATAGCTGGACGTTGCTGACAACCTATATGTCGAAATAGGAATTGTCCACGGAAGAGCAACGGGGCTAGTTGACAAGGCCAATCCCAGCGTATTCTCTCTCTCGGCTGGCGCTGCCGTAAATGCCCCAGTTTGGATAGATGCAAAACTCTTCGACAAGCCAAAGAGTGATGCTAAAACAAGCGAAGGTGCATAAAAGGCCCCCAACCAATGCGAGAATGGCAGAGGGGTTTCCCAAAAGGAACATTGAGATGGCCGTAGGGGTGTTTCGCTTATGCAGCAGTTTGGACTAGGTGTCCAAAGAATTTTGGCAGCATTGGATTGCTCATCTCCAATCCGTTGGGAGTAGCTGGGCTAGATACGTAGGATAGTATTGGTAGGCCAACCTCTGAAACGGTCAAGAGAGAACAAACAAATAATGTTGCACGATGGCCCCTCTGAACCTCAAACATGGCTGCCGATGGTAACCGCACGGAAAGGCCAGCACGAACTTGTGTTCCTCGTGCAACAGATCATAGTATGTAGCCTATCATATAACATTGTGGTGATTGCTTGCGATTAGGCAACATCGGATGCAATCACTTTGTGAACGCTTGGTGCCACGAGCACTTACTGCTACGAGGATCTCTCGCAGCGAATCATGGGTTGAATTATTCTTAGGCAGAGTCCTGTCTCTTAAGCATAAGCGCTAACAGTAGGTAAACTTCCACCGCGACTGTTTGCTCGCGGGAATTTAGTCTCTGTGTACCGGAGAGCTACCACCTGCTCTTTCGAGCAGGTAGGGTATTTTCACCCTTGTTCTAAGCCCCTCCCACAGTTCACGTTAGAGATCGGCTGCAAAGGGACAGCATAACACGCGAAGAATCTTCCCTTTATGTGGCTCTTCAATTTATTCTGCTGGAGTCCAAATTCGACCGTCAAATATGCTTGACATCCCCGTCATAGTATTTTACAAGAGTGATGCCCGAGATTCTCTCCAAGTCAACTGTTTCCAAATTGAGAATATCGTATGCTTCAAGCCTGTTTGTGGGGTCCATGTCAGGATCAAATAAAACCGGGTCGTCCTTGGGCTTTCCTCCAATCATCCTTTCAAGTTTGCTTCTGAAGTCAACTTTAACATCCAGCTTCACAGTGCACTGAAACTTTACATCATTCCTTCTCTTCAGCAGAATCGCCGTGCGCAAAGCCGTTGGAACCCCAGTCTGTTGTGCCTCATTCTCAAGCAGCGTCCACGACACGCTGTTCGGCTCGCCGTAATTCCGCCCCCTAAGGTCAATCGTCCCAATGATCCTCGTTGCGTTCGTCATCTCCGAGATGACCGTCCTCTCCCAGCCCAGCTCCGTGCCAGCTTGAAACCCTGCAAGCGGCGGCGCTCCGAGCTTGAAGTCCGCCCACCGCTTCTTCTCCTCCAGCGCCGTCGTCGGCACTATCGCCATGCTCTCGAAGGGCGCGATCCTATACACCTCCGGATCGCCTTGACCGGGCTGCTCGCTGAAGAACTGCAGCGAGATGTTGGCGCTCGCAATGCGCCGCGCGCGCTTGCGGCTGTCGAAATTGAACATGAGCACGATCAGTGTGGCACGGTCTTCGTAGTTATCCGGAGAGAGTAGTCCGTGGATGACGTCCAGGCAAGTGCAACGGATATCGATGGTACCCTTGCGCTCGGTCACGTTCCTCCTTTGGTAGGGTGCAGCCGGGTCGTTTTGCGTACGGAATGAGCTGCCGTCGTCCCCTTTTGGGTTGAGTCCGATATCGAAAATTGAGTTTTCGTCGTAGGATTCATCTTTGGCGTCGTTCAAGTTTACGAATACGTCTTCTTGCTCGACCATGAAATGTTCGACGGAAGTAGCGATGTGTGTCATTGCTGGTCAGTCTGAGCGGTGAGTGATTGAGCAGATATAGGAGCCACTGCGAGGCTGAGAAGTCAAAGCTTCTGTAGCGGGAGGGGTATTAACCCTGAATCGTCACTATTGCCACCGCTCTACTTTTTTGCGGGCGTTCTTCGTGAAACGTACATATTCAGCTGGAAACATTTCCCTCCACAAGATTTCCGTGTCACTCCTGTACAAGCCCTATCTTACATACCAATCCAGATCTGGGGTCAAGCCCGTCATTCCCGCATCATGTACATCGGCACATACCACAACCGGGAAGCTGGTGGCCTTAAAAGCAGAAAATGGTCTCCCGCTAATGCACGGTCGCGTTTCCAGTTCGTCTCATGACCTGAACCTGCTGGACAACCTCGACGCCAGGCTCGCCGACCAAAGGATCTCTCCAATAGCTCACCACCTCCTTGGATCCATCTTTGAGACCATCTTGGGGATATCAGCACCTGGAGTACTCTGACATACAACACTGCTCTTCGTTGGCCAAGCCGAAAACCAGGAATCAAAATGTTTCGCTTCGAAGGTGATGAAACCCAGGATTCTGAAGTCACTCAGACAAATGAAGGGAGGCCAAACAGCGGCTCCATTGTCAAGCAAGGCGAGACCGAAGTCGCGGGTCAACATAATAGCGATCAAAAGTCTGATAACGGCGATGGGAACAGCACAGAGAACAGGAGTTGTCAAGGACCTAATCAGGAGAAGAGGAGTGTAGATGATAAACCTGGTAATTACGGTCTTGAAATTATGGAGACTGAGGATTCTGGAGATATGGAGTAAGTCGTTTATCAAAATTTAGCATCATATCGGCTTTGGCTTACGGGTGTTCTATCTTTTGCATAAAAGCTTTGTGGTTGTTCACGGGCTTCATGGCAACCGCAGCTACAGTTGGAGACCCAGAAATGCCCCCGAAAAGTACATGCCCGCCCAGCTTTTTGGGAGAAGGGCTCGCTGCTTGAATTATGGATACGACGTATCAAAGACTGGGAGTGGTGTCTACTTCAGAAATGGTATTAGCAAGGAGGCTTCCAGACTTCTACAAGACCTTGCAAGGGCGAGACAGAGCCTATATCAGGTACATGTACGCGAGTATTTAGATTCTAGGCGTCCTCTCCATCCCCGGAACACCTTTCGCCCAATTGTCTTCATCGCACATGACATCGGAGGGTCAATTGTCAAACATGTACGTCGCCCACTTGAATTATTCACTCGCTTCTAACAGCAGCAGGCTCTCTATCAAGCCGGTTTGGATCCAAGATACCACAAAATATTGTCTTGCACGAAGTTGTTGGTTCGCAAACTTTGAACCCAGTCAACCAAAATGACAGCGCTGACAAAGTGCAGATTCTCTTCGGTTGCCCCCAGAGGTGCCTCAACGTACAGGACATGGAGGATAAACTCACCCGCCTTGTTCTCTGCGGATCAAAAAAGCCACTGAACAACATACTACGCGGAATCAAGCGTCTTACTAGCTCTGTGATGCAGGCCAATCACTTTTTGTTGAGTCGAAAATTCAACTTCGCGCAAGGGTTGTAACAATCCTTTCTGAAGATAAGGATCTTGCTAGAAGGGTTAGTCCACCACCTCAAGATTCCATATTTAGACCGAATTCTTTCTCAACAGCAAAACTATGTTAACACTCATAACTATAGATCTTTGATGCATATGACGTCAAAACAGACATGAAACATGGAGAGAATTTAGGGATCCCCGAGCCACACCTCGGTCTTGCCTCTGCACCCGATGACAGTCCTATGTGGACCGAACTTGGCCGGCTAGTTGGCTATCTTAGGAGTGAGCTTGCTTCTAGTAAATGATTCTCTGCTAACGGATCAAGGGTCAGTTGACGTTAATAGGTACTCTGTTCCTTCACTCCGACCACTCTACCGTGGCAAAAAAACACTCATTCCTTGATTTGGCAGTCTCACTTTCGCCGCCCGTGGTGCTACTTACCAGACCTTACTCGAACGACGAGGATTTTCAATGGCTCATGAGAAACGACAAATTCAGAGCGTGGCAGAACAATCCACAGCCTGATATCTTGATTATCGACGGTGCATCAACAACGTCTAGACAGGTCTCAAAGTCCGTCCTTCGGGCAATCAGGCGGGGTTCTCGCAACGCGGCCTACGAGGTTTACTTTTCCTTCGACAAAACCGATAGCTGTCGAAACAATACGTACTCGTTCCTCGCCAGCTCGATTGCTCACTCTATCATGCACTGGACAACGCACCCTCACAGCCAACCATTATACGCAGTATGGATATCGGAGTTTTCACGCTTTGTCAATCAGCGCTCGTTGGCTGATTGGGATTTGCTGTCCTTACTGATCAACCTGCGAGCCTCTGGACCTCCCGGAGAAACCTTATTCGTGCTGGATAACGTCGAACAGTGTCGTGACTTGAGTCAACTCTTCTGGATCCACATGGCACGTATTTTCGAAACATGTGAGAGTCCGTGGAAGTTTGTCCTTATAACGAGATCTCGTGAGTGTTTGTCCGACGAATGGTTGATGAGATGGCCTTGTCTCCACTTGGATGGCGAGATGGAGAAGTCGCTGGATCCTGATCCCACGACGAAGGCAGCTTTGGACACTGCAATGCTGCAAATGATCGAGATGGACAACCCGAGTGGTTTCTTGGTTGAGCAGCTGCGCACCGAACTCATCGACAGATGTGAGCAGCATGGAGGTCTGGCTCTCTTCATGTTACAACAATGTCGGCGTGTCGCAGCGTTGCCAGACAAAGCAAGTTTGCTACAGTTCCTCAACACACCGATTGAAGCACTGTTGGAAGGCACGTTGAGCAACGTGCCTGAGAGGCCTTTTGTAGCTGCCGCAATCAGCTGGGTTACCTATGCCTTCCGACCCCTCAGCATCCAGGAATTTGTTTTCGCAATCATCACCAGCAATCTCGACATATCGGCGCCACGCGGAGAGATACCAGGCGCTTCAGAATCCGCGGGTGCCTACATAGTGTCAGAAGTCAACACACTGTTGCCAGGAATTCTTGCCTTGGATTACGAAGTCCGCTTTCAACATCAGCAACTCCGAGATTTCTTCTTGAGTGCAGAGAACACCTGGTACGACATCAACAAAACAGCCAACAAACTGATAGCAGAGACATGCCTCCATTACCTTTCCTCATCACAGTGTCAGGTCTCGTTGAGCCGTCTTTGCATAGTCCTCCACGGCATCTTATCAACGCCAACCTTTAAACCTAAAGATGATCTTGCCGCTTACGCCGCCGAGAACTGGGTCAGGCACTACAATCTCTCCCCAAAGTCAAAGGATCTGACGGGCCTTGCGGAACAGTTCTTCCAGGACAGGACAGCTGTGCGGGCCTGGGAACAAGCCTACTGGTTCATGGGGAACCCGGTAACAAGGACCGACAGGTGCTACGTCTCAATCATACCCCTCATCGCCTCAACGGGCATCCAGGACATCTTTGATTCATACAAAAACGACGAGCCATCTCGCCAAGCGTTAATCGAGGCCGTCAGAAACGGACACCACCAGAAAGTCCAGCAGCTGCTCAACACCATCGAAATGGACAACGAGACGGCCGAGGCCACATTGCTCGCAGCGTCCAGCCACGGGGACGAACAGTTCCTCATGAACCTCGTCTCGCGCTTCCAATCCCTCACCGCATTCACTATACCGCCACCACTCCTCAGCCGTGCCGCATGGCTCGGCCAACACCGGCTAGCCAAGCTCCTGCTCGACCACGGAATCGCCCTGACCACCTCCAACCACCTCTTCGGCGAAAACCCACTCCACCATGCCTCCCGGCACGGCCACCTCGAAGTCGCCCAGCTCCTTCTCGCCCGCAACCCAACCCTGGTATCCGTGCGCAGCGAGCACGGCAACGAGCACCTTTGCGACACCGGGCTCGACGACGTCGACCCCGCCCTGCTCGCGCAGCTCCCGCACTACCACGGCGAATACCCTCTGCACCTCGCCGCGGCGGGCGGCCACGCATCGCTCGTGCAACTACTACTCGCCCACGGCGCCGACAAAGACGCATGGACGGAGCGGATGGGCCGGCCGCTGGCCGCGGCGTGCGAGCGCGGGATGCACGCCGCCGCCGCCGTGCTGCTGGAGGCCGGCGCGGAGGTGAACTTCGCGGTGCGGATGGCGCGCATGCCGCCGCTGGTGAGCGCGGCGGAGAAGGGGTACGGGGGCTGCGTGCGGCTGCTGTTGGATCGGGGGGCGGATGTGGCGCTGAGCAACTTTGAAGGGCCGGCGTTGTATTTCGCGGCTGCCAACAGGCACGCTGCCGTGTGCCGGATGCTGCTGGAACGGGGCGCGGACGCGAACTACTACTCGCGGGGTTCGGGGTCGGCGGTGGGCGTCGCGGCCGCGAATAAGGATCTGGAGACGGTGAAGATGCTCGTTGAGCACGGGGCGGATGTGGATGGTGGGGCTGGCGACCACTTGGGTACCGCGCTCTATCGAGCGAGCTTTGTCGGGGGAAGCGTGGACGTCGTCAGGTACCTGCTAGATCACGGCGCGGATGCGAACGCGGTCAGCGTTGGGACCGTCCCGCTTTGCAACGCCATATGGGCGGGAGACTTTGACGTCGTCCGCCTCTTGCTCGAGAGAGGGGCGGATGTGGACATCAAGATGCGCGACGGATGGACGCCTCTCCACGCCGCGTTCCGGAATGCGGCTATGACGAAGATGCTTCTCGACGCCGGCGCCACCGTCGACAATCACTTCGACGACAACGGCTACTCAGCACTCCTCCTAGCCACCTGGCACAACGAACTCGAAGTCCTCGAAGTCCTCGTCCGACACAACGCGCCAGTCGATCTCCCCCACCACATCCACGACGACGAATACACCGTCCCGGACGACACGCCCACCACGGCGCTGTACTGGGCCGTACGCAGCGGCCACGTGCGCGCCGCCCGCATCCTGCTGGAAGCCGGTGCAGACGTCAACTACCACTTCGACCGCGCCAGCGTCGTCCACGCCGCCGCCGAGGACGGCGGCGGCGAGGCGATGCTGCGCATGCTGCTCGAGTTCCAGCCCGACTTGGGGGTGCGGGCAGCGCTGTGGGGCGACACGGCGCTGCACTGTCCGGGGCTGCCCCTGGAGTGCGCGCGGATCCTGGTTAACGCTGGTGTTGATGTGCACGGTGTTAACGACCGTGGGTGGACGCCGCTGTGCTACGCTGTCAATTCTGGTAATCTCGACGTCGCGCGGTTCTTGCTGGGGAAGGGCGCGAGGGTCGATGTGGCGACGAAGGATGGCTCGCCGTTGCACTTGGCTTGTACGAGGGGCGAGGTTGATGCTATGAAGTTGATGGTGGAGGCTGGGGCGGACGTGAGCAGGAACTATCCGGATGTGGGGACGCCTTTGTATGTGGCGTGTGCGCGGTGGACGATGACGAAGGCCTGGGTGGTGCACCCGTCGAGGGAACTGGAGGACCGGCGGTCGAGGGAGATCGTTGAGTATCTCATGTGGGGCAACGGCGGAGAGGAGGAGAAGAAGAGGAAGAGGGTGGATGTGAATCAGCCGAGCGGTGGCGATTTCGGCTTCGCGCTGAGTGCGGCGTGTGCGGTCGGCTCGGTGGCGGTCGTCGACGTGCTGCTCCGGGCTGGTGCCAGGGTTGATGTTCAGGATGTGTTTGGGCGTTTCCCGGTGCACCTGGCGGCATATTCGAGCGTTGAGAAGTTTGAGAGGATGTGCATGACGGATGCAGATCTGTACTGCCTCGACAAGTTGGGGCGAAATGTCTTGCATGTGGCTGTGCAGAGGGGGAATGCAGCGTTGGTGGAGCGAGTGTTGGGAGTGACAACTGACCTGATCAATTCCGCCGACTGTCACGGGTGGACGCCGTTGCACTATGCAGCCAGGGGCAGCTATGCTTATCCTTGGCATGTCCGGATGGAATGGAGCGAGGAAATCATCCAAATGCTGCTGGACAAAGCCGCGGATCTTTGGGCCACGACCAACGGGTATGAGCAGGAGTGGTCGCCATTGAAGTTGGCAAGATATCATGGAGCTGATGATGCAACTTTGAAAATGTTCACACCAATAGAGAAGACTGGCAAGGACGGAAGGCAGTGGGACGACGAGGGACATCGGTCAATGAAGGCCAACCGCACCATGACGTCCTGCGATTGCTGCTTATTCGTGAATACCTTATTTTCCTTCCCAACTACTATGTCTCTTACGCTAATGCCTGCCGGTCCTTGTAGAATATCCAGGGCCTTCGCTATAAGTGTCAGAGATGCGAAGATTTTGACCTTTGCTACAAATGCAATCGGCATGCCGCCATGCTGCACCCAGGCCATAAGTTCGAGGAGCTAGGACCTGAATTCGAATGGGAAAAGAGCCGTTCATCGGATCATGACACGAGCGGTGAAGAAACAGATGGCGAGGATGAAAGTGATGAGGATGAAGGTGAGGAGGATTCAGAAGAAGAAAGCATCGAGAATTGACTGAAGCTTTAGAACTTGTTTGATCCATTTTTTCTGCGTATCTCTCATCCTCCTTCGCTACGTCTCTTACCCTAGAGCTCTTTCTTGTTGGGGCCTTTTTGTCCAGATGAACCCTTATACTGCCCTGACTTTTCAATTGATGTGTTTCCAAAATTGTACGGGGAAACATACATGAAAAATGATTACTAACATTCATGAGGCCATACCGAAAATCCAGAGTCAACTAATAAGGACATTTCCATCTCTCTGGTGATGTGCAGCGGAAGGGCAATTGATAAATGCATATATTGGCTGACAGTATAAGCCCAGTATCACGCGAGACCAAGTCAAATAAACAAAACAGAGTATAGCCAAAGTAGCTTTGTGGCCGTAAGCAATAACAGGTGCCTGTTAGCATGCTCTCCGACTTCAACAAGAGATCAAAGGACTCGGAGAAGCTTTGTTATCATTACTCCTTGCGATATCGGCAGGGATCCGCAGATAACGGAGAAAGAATTTCCACTAGGGAAGGCTGAAGCAGAGAGGCGTACACTGTCCAAAGTCGGCGGATGGGTTACTCAGTCTCATCCCTTATCCAAGCAGCCAATTATAAGTGATGGCGCTGAGACACGGGTGGGAGATATCGAAAATACTTTTTCAGAGAGCGGAAGTTCGCCCTGCCGAGACCTCCCTCAGCCGCAACCGCCCACAAGAGACAGAAAGCGTCAAGAAGATTGCGATCAACGAATACTCCTTTCGTATGTTCCTGCTTAAAAAGCAAGCCCAGCTGCAGGCCAAGAATCTCCGCATCGTGGCAAGGGTTTGAGTGTGACGCGCTTGGCGCCGCGACCAGATTAAGATGTCACCATGCCCAATGGATACACGACGTCTTGCGTGTGTTCGTGTCCAATACGCAAGCGCCAAGGGCAATCTGTATCAAGATTGTGCCAAAAACAGAAATCTCACTGCGATAAGCAAATCACGAACCGGGTTCCCGCATACTGCCGAGCCAACAGGGGCGGAGCGGAAATCTTGGCAAGTGCCGTTCTTCCGGCTAGGCATCTGCAGGACGACCATCGGGAAGATCGAGCACCTGTAAGGGTTGAGAGACACGATGACACTTTTTCGAAGCGCCTGACAAGACTCACCATGTTTCAGTGTGCTCTTTAGCCACATCGCCGATCATTCTTGGTCGTTATTTGAACTCTACTCTGCTCGCTACCACTTCCATTCCCTTCCGCTCCCGTTTTCGATCATTTCCGAATCTCTCTCCTTTTCCGTATTTAGACACTTATTACATTCTCTCAGGCTCGCTGGTCGAGCATTTGATTTCCTTTATCCTGCCATTTCTTCAAATTTTTCATCATGCCGAATCTCGACGTAAGCGAGTTGAACGTTGTCATCTCCATCTTGGGTTCGGTCCCGCCCTTTTTATCTACGATTCCCACTGACTTGTAACAAAGGAGCATTTATTATGCTCTATGGCGTGATCTCTTACAAAATCAAGAATGTGTGGTACCTTGGCGAAGCATGTACGTGGGAACTCCTTCCTGATCCCAGCTTGAAGTGGGCTGACATTTTGCGCCCCAGTGCCTGCTGTGGTCGTAGGAATCGTCCTTGGCCCCATCGCCTCCAAGTTCATCGACTCGACGCGCTGGGGCTCTGCGGAACCTGGCCAGCAGAACGCCATCACTCTGGTAAGCCCATGCCGCCACCACGACCGTTCCCTGTCTCGCCGCTCATTCCGTCCAGGGAGTATGCCGCCTGGTGATCGGGGTCCAGCTGGTCATTGCCGGGTTCCAACTTCCCGCGAAGTACCAGTTGACGCGATGGAAGGAGATGGCCATTTGCCTGCTTCCGGTCATGACCATCATGTGGCTATGCACGACGGCCTGCGTCCTGGCGACGATTCCGAAGCTGACGCTGGTAAGTGATGAAACGCGTATGTGTGAATTTGCTCCTCGAACCCCGCTGATTTCCCCCTGTGCCACAGCTGGCCGCCCTCGTCATCGGCTCCTGCGTCACCTGCACCGACCCCATCCTGTCGCAGGCCATCGCCAAGGGCCCCTTCGCGGACAAGTACGTCGCCCGCCACCTGCGGGAGATCATCTCGTCCGAGGCCGGCGCCAACGACGGCTTCGGCTTCCCCTTCCTCATGCTGGCGACGTATCTGATCCGCCACGCCGACATTCCCGGCGCAGGGACCCACAGTGCCGCAGAGTCGGGATCCCACGGGGTCGGTAGGCTGGGCGGTGGCGTCGGCAAGGCGCTCGAGCAGTGGGTGGTGGAGACGTGGTTGTACATTGTGCTCATGAGCGCCGTTTACGGTGTCGTCGTCGGGTATGGGAGCTGCAAAGCTCTGAAGTTTGCTCTGAAGAAGTGCGTGTCGTCCCATCTATATTCTAACGCACAGACGCGCTTATACTGGATGACAGGAAGTGGATCGACAACGAAAGCTACCTGCTGTTCCCCGCTGCTATTGGCGTAAGCATGGATCTTCATTCCCCTCCGCACCATTCACTAACACGTCCACCAGCTCTTCACCGTCGGCACCTGCGGCGCTCTGGGGACGGACGACCTCCTCGCCTGCTTCTTCGCCGGTAACGCGCTGAACTGGGACGGCGGCTATCTAGAAGAGACGGAAGCGCGCCACGACGAGGTCAACTCGAGCATCGACGTGCTGCTCAACTTCGGCGGCTTCATGTACATCGGGGCGGTGCTGCCGTGGGGCGAGTTCCACCAGCCCGACGTCACGGGCATCACGTACGGCCGCCTGTTCGGGCTCGGCTTCCTCGTCATGGTCTTCCGCCGCATCCCGGCCATCTTGATGGCGTACAGGTTCATGCCGAACGTGTGCAAAAACGTCAAGGAGGCACTGTTCATGGGGTACTTCGGGCCCATCGGTGAGAGACCCCAGACCCCTACCCCCCTCCCCGCCACCTCGCAACGCTGATTGATCCTCTCCCCCCAGGCATCGGCGCAGTCTTCTACCTCGAACACACGCGCCACCTCTTCCCCGAGCTCGACGCCGCCGACGCCGAAGAATCCGACCTCCTCCGCGCCCTCGGCCCCAGTAAGCCCCCGTTCTCCCCTCCTCCCCCCTCAACTAACCCTTCCACCCACAGCCGTCTACTTCCTCGTCCTCTTCTCCATCATCTTCCACGGGCTCTCGATCCCAGCCCTGGACGCGCTGTACAAGCTTCGCGGCGTCCCACCGCTTATCGACGCCGAGTCCGGCCCCGTCGAAGTCCGCCCGCTCTCACTGCATGCTGCGAAGCCGAAGAACAGCGCCTACGTCGCGAAGCGCGGGTCGGTGGTGGTGTACAACCGGTTCTCGCGCGGGGTGGGGAGGGATTTCGATGATGGTGACATGTACCCGTTGCATGAGCGTGATGCGGTTAAATTGAGGGAAATGGTCTAAGGTGGGCGGGTGTCGTCCTTTTTCGCGCGAAAAGGATGGCACCCGGTTTCTTTTTTTTTTTTTTTTTGCGGCGATGGGGGGGGGAGACTTGAAAGAGACGGAGAAAGAGGGGAGAGAGAGACATTCGGCATTTAAAGGGGAAAACAGAAGAAAAAAAAATTTTTCCTGTGAGAGTGTATTGGGGGATGACGTCGAAGACTGGGGCGCGCGGCTCTCCGTCCTGAGGAAAGCGGGAATGAGAACACCCTCGTTCATCATGTAGATGTGCTTTTATGAGACTCACATACTGGGTTGCCACATTCTTTTGGATCACGTAGAAGGATAGAGAACAAATTATCAAGAAATGACGTGGACGGGGGCATCACCACCTCAGGATGATTGAAATCCTCCCTTGGATGGTGTCTATCGATTGTCTCGGGGCTCTCTATTCTCTCTTTCTTATACGCACAAGGCTCAGAAACGACAGGACAGCGGCACCGATCGGCACCACCGCACCAAACCGGCGTTCGCGGCAGCGGCGCGCCACCGCAGAGCAGAAGGTGTCAGCTCGTGTAGAAGCGCTTCAGCTTCTCCCCAAGCCTCTCCTTCTCCTTCCGCTCCCCCGCAGCCGAAGCAGCCCTGTCACTCTCCCCGCCTCCGCGCTTGTCCTCCAGCACGTCGCCAGGCAACACGATAGCGCGGTCCAGCGCATACGGCAACCCGCGATGGCGGCCACGAATCATCATCGCGCAGATAACCAGCTTACTAAACGTCGTAAACTGTCCAGACAGGCTAGTCAGCACGGTAGGGTAACCGAGGCTGAGCCCGACGTTGGCGTACGCCGACACGACCTCGAAGAAGATGGGGAAGACCTGGAACGCCGGGTCGGCCTGGTCGGCGATGCGGTCGGCCTCGGCGATGCAGATGCAGAAGATGCCGAGGAAGATGTACCACAGGTCGAACGAGAGTTGGTTCTGGAGGTGGTTCACGAGGTAGGTGGCCGCATTCTCCTCGTTCGGCTCGGGCTCTGGTGCGTAGAGGCCTAGAGAGCGCTCCTCGTACGTGTTCGACGCGCGCACCGAGATGGCGATCGGGAACACGGAGATGTACATCATGACCAGCAGGCTGAACTGCACCGCCGGGTGCACGTCGGCCAGGTTGAAGGTGGCGGTGCCCGTGTGCCGCGACGACGCGGCCTGGAAGAGGGCGGCGAGGACGCGCGCGCCGCCGCCGGGGATGGCGGTCATGACCGGGTTGTGCAGGTCGAGGACGAGGATGAGGAGTGTGTCGATGAAGTTCATGGCGAAGAGGATGCCGAACAGGATCCACGTCGTGCGCGCGGGGAAGAGCAGAGTGTAGCAGCGGCGCGGGTGGTCCAGGAGGAAGCGGAGGGGCTCTTGCAGCGACGAGTGCTTCGGGACGAGCTTCGACATGGTCCAGATGACGAAACGCAGGAGGCACGGGTAGCACGTGTTGCCGGCGTACGCGAGGAAGGTCATGACGAGCAGCGGGAAGGTTGCGTCTTGGAAGGTGATCATCGAGTCTGGGGTTAGAGTGAAGCCGAGGTTGCTGATCATCGTTTGCGACGAGTAGAAGCCCCTTGAGAGGTCAGTGGGGATTATGAAGAGGAAGAGAGGAGAAAACTTACCACCACGTCTTATCTTGGCCGCATTCTTCCAGATAGTCACGGTACTTGCTGTTGGCCGTTTGGATCCAGCCCGCGAGACATATGGCCCCAAACAGGTGGAGTCCGAAGAAGTAGCCTGAACACTTTAGCTTAAACACAACTTTGAGTGGCAGACAACGCTCTTACCGACAACGATTTTGAGCAGTAGTTTCAAGCTACGGTATTCAATCCCGCCCAATCTCTCTCGGTCTTCCGCAGTAAGGTTGTAAAACTCCGAGTTCCTTCCAATCGTCACTTGTTTCGAAAGATAAGGCGCGTCTGTTGAAGTGCGGGAGATGGACATGGAACGGCGAGACATCGAGGGCCTTTGCGGACTGGGATCCGCTCCGAGGACGAACATAGAAGAAGCGGCGCGCTCGATTGACCTGGCCGATGCCAAACTTGGGCCGGCGCGAGTACGACGGCGGGTTAGTCCGGCTGGCTCTTCGGACGTGGTGACACGGGTGATCTTGTCCATATCCTCGTCTTCGTCACTGAGGACGTCAGGAACTTCTTCCAGTGGCTGGCCTTTTTCCCGTTCACGGGGAGAAGGCACGCGAAGTGCCTTGCTGCTCGGTGGAGGCCGTGTACCTTCAGCAAAGACGATCTGTCTTGGGGCAAGGTTCGCTGCGTCAGGTCCATGTGGACTTTCCAATGCTGAAGTCTTAGATCCATTATTGGACTCGCTCTCGCCTGACGGATCTAAACCGGTAGCACCAGGTGCTTTCTCGGGGATCGCACGCCCGGATGAGCGGTTTATTTGGGCCTCAACATCTTTTTCCACAGCGGTCGACTGTGACTCGGCGGGAAAAGGCTGAAGAAGAGCGGGCGCAACCTCCTTGATTCGTTTCTCAAACCAGTAGAGGCGGACGATGACAACGATGATGTTGACGAAACCAAGGTTGGTGATTATCGGGAGAAAGTAGATGACCAGTTGCTGATACGTCTTCAGTTCTTTGACATCCACACTATGACACAAACAAGGTCAGTCTGACACGCTGATTAAGGGGCACTCGGATCTATCTCACGTATTTAGACCTGACTCGGTAGTGGCGCTGACGCCAAAGAAGTAGGCGTCGACGGCTCTGAGGTTTCCATAGGGGTAGATGACGATGAGCCCGACTATCCCTAGGAAGATTATGTAGGCATCTGCAGAACCGGTTAGGAAAGACTTGGTTGTACTTGCGCATTAAGCGCAGGTGGTAACTTAACAATGCAAGAGCACAAAATTAAGGTGCGGCTTCCACATGGTTGTGTCGACGGGACGGAAACAGGGTCGTTTCCCGGTGAAGTGGACGTATTGGAAGAAGCGTGCGGGATTTGAAATATGGCGCATTTAATAGCTTTATACCCAAGTGGTCGATCTGCGGTCTGCGCCTTTTAACGGCGACAAATCGCTTGACGTTGTGGCTGACACTGGACGGCCTATTGCGAAAATGGCGCATCCCGTATGCGGGGAGTTTCGCCGAATCACGTGCAAGAGGCGGTGCCGTGGTGTTTTTGCGCTGGAGTGGGGTGCAGCGAATCTTGTACTAATATCACCGACTTTCTTCTATCAAATGACAGAAACACCGGTGAGTTTATGTGGAGCTTCCAGATTCTCAAGGGGGTTGAAAAGTTTTGGGCTTGGCAACTGCCAATTCCACTCCTCCCTCTACTATCGCGCCCGAGTCATTTTTGCCTAGACACCCCAGTTACGACTTCTCAAAGTTACTTTTCAGTGAACAAAATCTGACGGGATGATAACATCTGGTGAGTTGTCTAAATCATGGACTCTCCCCTTCGCTTGTTTGAAAAGACAACTCACACCGTAGTTGACTACCAATTTTGTAGTATAATCCTCTTATCAAGTAGCGCGACAGGCGTGGTCATCTGGTTAAGTTATTCCGCGTCATACTTGGCATACAAGACATCACACGACCTCTACTTCCTGGATTACACCAAAGCCACTGCAGTATTCGATCCAGTCAACCAACTTACTCTCACTTTAGAATTTACTCCCCACACCGCATCAACCGCACTTTCCTCCGTCACCACCTCCAGCCGACGAGCCTCCACCAACATCGCCGTCTTTCCGCTCCCTCCACCCTATCCTCACCGGTTCCTCCGCGCTATTTGGAAATTCCGGTCACAAACTTTACACCTGCTCGCTCTATCCACACTTGCTTCGCGGCAGCTCCGCCGCGAAGGCTGGATAGCGGTTCTCACGTATATGGGGATGAAGAGTGACTCCACAGAACAGCGGCGAACAGATTCTGCTTGCCTGCGGCAGTGTGGTGAGCTGACAAATAGGGAAGTCAGTCAGTAGGTGTGGGGATGGACGGCTGGATTGGAGATGCTGCTGACAGGGCGTGCGTACAGTGTCTGCAGTAAGCAGGCGAAGTGCGTGTCCCTCTCGGCCTCAGGCACAAACACGAGCCATGGCCGAACGGGTTAGTGCGGCTGTGTCGGTCTGCAACACCACCACCTGTGCTCCGCTGTTTCGAAGCATCCAACACGACTTAACAGTATCTGAGTTTTAAAATGTCTGCAATGCTAATATTTCAATTTATCTTGCAAATGTAATCGACTTCCCGCGATACTACACCCGGCTCGTCAATTAGAGGTATTGGGGCCTCAATTCGAACGAAAAAGTCCGAGTCATTAGAAAATGAGGAAGTAGATGGTGAAGATGGAATTCATGAAGATGAGATAAAGAAGGTCAGGAAGAATGTCACATTGAGGACAGGGATGGGGGGGAGAAGGCATGAAGAAGAGAGCAAAAATGTGGCGGTTGACAGTGCAAGTCCAATACTAACCCAATCGAGTAATTAAAAAGCGGAACTTATACGGCAACCGCAGCTTCGGAACCTTGGGCAACAGGGGCTGCCTACTGTTCGTCTCGCTAATCTGAAAAACAACTTGACCCTGTAGAGCTGGGTGATCTGCGCTGCGTTTTGGGGACACGGCGTTGATTGGCCCTTGTCTCGCCTGCAGTGGCGAGTGTTGCCTACATGCCGGGCTGAGCTGGCCATGCACCGCCACGGATGTGGAACCGTACTTTACTCTTTAAGCCGGAAAGCGCATGCGCAGTCGACAGCATAAACATGTCGCGAGAATCACCGAGTGCTCCTGTTGGAAGCTTTTCTGGCCAACCAGAAGAAATGCATACATTTCCGTACGCAGACCACATCTCTCCAATGGAATCATGTCCCGGCTGACGTAGTCCGCAGCCTACCGTTTCCAAAAGACGTGCAACTAAACTCAGCGCTCGACGGCATCAACAAAGATGAAGATTGGAAAGAACTACGTCTCCCGGGCCAGCCCAACATCCGTCTCGGCCAACATGAACGCCTGTGGCACCATCTGGAGCGTGAGTTATATTCAGCCGACCTGGAGAAGCTTGCCCCGCACCTGTGGATGATGTCGACGCAATCCAGCGCCAACATCTCGCCGCTGCACCGGCAGAAAGTCAAGAACCGGCGCATCATCATCACCGAGGATCCGCGCCTGCACCTCGTCTGGGTCGACGACAAGATCTTCATCAAACCTCTACCGCCGTACCTGCTCTCCCACGCCTTCTGGGCGGAAATCCTGCAGCCTTGCAGCGGCCCCACCACCACCACCACCACCACCACCAGCAATGCCTCTCCAAACAGCACCACCGCCTCGCACCGCACCGCCATCGCTCTCGCTGCCCGCGGCTTCCTCCGCACCTACAGTCACCTGATCCGGCACGAATCCGACTTCCGCATCGCGCTCGACGAACAGCTCATCCCCCCTCCCCCCGTCTTCACCTCCACCCCCTCCTCCGACATCCCCATAACCTGGACCACCTTCGCCGACTTCACCGCCAGCATCTCCAGCCTTGTCAACGACGCCGACGTCTCTCCCCGCTACGCCTACGGCGAACTCCGCCTCTCGCGCCTCAACTTCTACGCCAAGCTCTTCCTGCGCCGCTTCTACTACCAGCGGCGCTTCCCGCAGTACGGCACATACTTCGCGCAGTTCTTCGCGCCGATCCTGTTCGTCTTCGGGACGCTGAGCGTGGTGCTGGGCGCGATGCAGGTCATGACGGCGACCGAGGCGCTGCTGCTGCCCGATGGAGCGGTGTGGCCGGGGTTGTGGATGGTGTGTCGGTGGTTTAGCGTGTTGACGTTGGTGCTGGTGGTGGGCGTGTGTGTGGTTTTGGGGGTGTTGTTGGGGTATCGGTTTGTTAGTGAGTGGTGTTATGCGATTAGGGATAGGAGGGGGAAGAGAAGGAGGGTGGGGTGGGTGGGGAAGGAGGCGGGGGCGATGGTGTAGAACGTGGGGTTAGGTGCGAAGGAGGGGGATTTTGGCGGTACCGGGTGGATTGAGCGGTGTTGTGTGGTGTGAGTATCAAGAACATAAACTTTCTCCCTCGGGAAAAAATAGCTTGGCTGTATTTCCCTTACCGCTTTAGACGCAAGAATTCACTTCGGACGTGTGTACAAAGTCTCGTAGACGTCAGTTCTGAAAGAAGTGGTTATTCACTGAGTACCACAAGAAGCCTTTCCAAGATAAACATTCAAAACATCATCATACCTCTCCATCACCACAAAACGCCTCACCCACCCTCTACGACTACTTCCCCGCAACCTTAAACGGATGCGCCTCGGTATTAAACACCCACTCATTCGACCCGCCCGAGCCACCAAAAATCTGGTACTCCGCCTCCTCCGCAAACATCAAATACGCATACTTCATCACCTCGGCAAACAAAAAGCTCTCCTGATTATCATCCGCCGACCCGCCATTCGCCACATTCACATTCGTCACAGCCGTGAAACCTGACCCTTGCCTCGTCGTCGCATTGATGCTCGTAAACGCCTCCCACGCCCAATCCTGGTACTTGGAATCCTTCGTCTGGCGGTACGCGTAGTAATAGCTCTCCAGCACCTCTGGCCTCAAATCATAAAAGCTGTCCGAGATCCAGAAGCCGTTCTTCTCGTAAAAGGCCGACTGGTTGGCGGGCAGGGTCGACGTGTTCCACGAGAAGGTCTCAGGGCCAATACCGGTGACGGTCGACGCGTACGTGTTGCGGCAGCCGGCGACCAGGTCGAGGCCGAAGTCGATGTAGTCCTGGCGGTCCAGCACGTTACCGCCCAGGATGAAGTTGCCGCCGTCGAAGCAGGCGAGGTGCTGCGAGAAGTTGCGCGTGGTTTGGTTGACGTAGTAGGCGAGGTAGGTGATGTCCGGGCGGGACGAGGGGTGCGAGGCCAGGTGCGCGATGGAGGAGTCGACGGCGAGGATCCAGCTGAGGGATGAGATGTTAGTGATCGTGTTCAAGGTTATGCTTGCTTATATATCCATGTCTTTCTTTTTTTAACTTAAAAAGAAAGAGGAAAGAAAAATACGAGACTGGCACGTACCGATCCTTGTACTCGCTGAAACGGTCAGGGTCGTAGATCCACATCTTGATCAGGTACTCGTAGAAAGAGTCAGTGCCGCCGACCCAGCCGCCCGAGGCATCGGTGAAATTGCCATTGGCAATGGAAATGTCGCTGCCGACAAGACCGGGCCAAGGCTCGTTCCACGACGGCGAGGGGCTGAGCAAGTACGATTCAGCCTTCTGCGACAAGCGGGCGTACTCGTCGTCATTCAAGAGGTCGGACAAACGCGTCCACTCGAGCACCAGCGTACCGACGGTGGCCAGGCCGTTCGTCGAGGCGCCGTCGTTGCCCTGGGTGGCAAAGTTGAGGTTATTGTACGGAACACCCGACGGCGTGTCGAAGGCGTACTTGAGTGCGTTGGCCAGCACCTTAGACTGGTCGAGCAGAGCGTCCACTTGCGAGGACTACGGGTGCTGTCAGTGCTGATGTTTTTGGATGCACGTGATGCTCGAGATGTACTCACGTTGCTTGCCAGATCGGAAAGAGGTCCCTTCAGCAGATCGTAGGCGGAGAGCATGCCGCCGAGGTAGCGGATCGTGGTCTCGAATAAGCTGACCTCAGTCGAGGTGGTCGTATAGTCAATCGTCGGGATGTATTCAAGGATCTGATTGACCACATCCTTGTCCTTCATGATCAGGGCCGTGCTCAGGGCATCAACAGCGCTTGCACCCCAGCCATTTCTGCAAGTTTGTTAGGACAAGATATTCAATGAACAATTCATAAGAGAGCTTGCCTGGAGTTTCCAAAGCCATTGGAGACGGGGTGGAGCTCGTCATTGGGGAAGGCAAACTCGTAGTAGCCACCCCATGCGTGGTTGAACGCCTCCTTGACGGCAGCGGCTTTGTCTGCGTCGGGGCCACCGGTAGACTGACGAGGCTGATGGGGAAAGGCGACAGCAGTGAGGAGATGCGGGGCCAGCAGAAGCAGCGAAGCGAAAGACGGGGCCATGGTGGGGCTCGAATTAACGGAGTAGAACCAGCTCTATAACCGCGCTCTAAGCTCTATTTCAAAAGAGTGAATGAAGAAGCAGAGGGCAGGCTTTAAAAGCAATGAAGGGCATGATGGGGTTAAGAAGGGGGAGACCAAAAAAAGATCGGGGGTTCGGCGGCGGGGCGCGCATGGATGGGTTTGATTAAGCAGAAGTGCAGCTTTCTGGGTAACATGGGGGGCCCATGACCTGGGCGGCTGACGTTCCTATCAGGCGTGCAGACCGGGATAAGCTCCTGGGTCGCGCGGCGCGAAGATGCACGCGCTGCAGATCAACATGCGAAGCTGCTGGAGCACGCGGTAATTGCTGATCAACCGACTTGGGCAGTGGCGCGCTTGAGTGCTGACGGGCTTCAGCCCTCGCGCCGTGCGCGCTCCTGACTCTGGGGAAAAGACCGGGGTTCGGTTGATGTGGAGCTTAGTGACGGGATGGCGCTGGTTCTGCAGTAGTGTGAGGGGCTTGCATTATTGATTTCGGCCTTTTGGGCGCTGCGTGCGCTGGCGCCGGGCGGGCTGCACCATGTTTGGCGGTGAGGAGTCGACGTCTGTGAGCGCGATAAAACAAGGCTCGAGGAGAGACAGTGTCTGGCGCGTGGTGTGCGGGCGGCTCTTGGGTCTGGGCGGGCTTAGGCTGGAAGGAGCAGGTGCCAGAGACCCCGGCAATCCTTCTCGCCCTCTGTCGCCCGTCGCGATCGTCAGGCACAGTACCACGGTCGACTCTGCACTTCCAGGAGTCCGTTGCTCCCCGCTGCAGCTCCATGACGGCATCGAAATAATCCTGCGCCGAAACTCTAAACCGCCCGCTGAACGGCTTAGGCTCCGCCGGGTGATGCTTAATTCCCACTGACTTTCAGGCCCAATGTCGCTCCTAATTCTGGATGCCAAATGGCTATTTCGCATCGCGTCTTACTGCATTATTAAGTCCAAAGGCAAACACCTTCCCGCCTTGTGCAGCCGCTCTTCTGCCCGCGCCTCCGCCGTGCCGGCAAGCGCGGCCTGTCCGCCTGCATGCTACTAATAATAAGAACTACCCCATCTTTGGCCATTGGCATTCTTCCCCTTCCGAGCCGCAGCCGATTTAATGCATCCGGTACCGCATTTGATCAGACACGTGACACAGCTGCATGTCTGGAATACCACGAGAATCCGGCCTGACATTTCCGGGTGACATTGGGGCGCCTGTTACACTGCATCAACACCCATCAGCGAGAACGAGCCGGGAACCGACATCAATTCTCCGCGTGCTTGTCCCATGTTTGATGGAAACAATTCATTCAAGAGATGACGTTGGTTTCATTGCTGTTTAATTCCGAAGGTACCCATGGTTGGCGCGCTCCGGACTCCGAATCCTTCCCACTTCACAGAGCCTCCCTCCCCTCCCAAACAACCCATGAAAATCATCACGTAAATTACCTCTCGTTTGACCTCCGGTTGGAACATCGACTATATCCGAGCTTCTTTAACATCAGCCCGTCATTAACATTTCACAGATCCTTCGGACCGACTGAAAGGGCGCGCTATTTTGAGCTTGCGCCCAAAGTACGAGCGGCATGCTTTATGGAAAAGTCATCTTTTACCCCGCAACCTGTCGATTGTTTTGATCCTGTCGGGGTGTACACAAGAACTAGGCATCACGACTGGTGACTCGGGCTCGTGCACCAACATCCTCAGCTCCGGCCACAAGGACGATTCTGGGACGCGCACAGCTAACTCGCGGCGGTTGACATTTGGAGGCCGCGGCCCACTGCCTTGCACCCTCGTAGTCGTGCAAAACCAATGCCTCGCTGGTAACAAATGCTGTGCGACGTCAGTCCGATAAGACGCATTTCTGTTCACCGCCATCCCTTCGCCCGCGCAACCTTGTCTGGTTCACCGGCTATCCTCTCACGAAGCAAACCTGGAATTGGAAGAAGACAGAAGATCTTTGACCAGACGACGTGTATACAGTGCTACCGGAGAAGACGCCTCGTGGCGCCCTCGGCCCTAAATCAAATGCATTAATCTGGTATGGGTTGAGCCAAAGAGCGCCCCCGCTTCCACCGCATATGCAAGCCTCAGCGCCACAACCAGAAAAAGCACGACATCACCACGACACGAAACCATCCAAATACTACCAATGCCAGCGCATTCATGAGCATGTCGAGAAATTCGACATGCCGAGACTGAAAATCCGGAGTGTCGTCGAAGATGGACCTTCACATCGCATAGATCATCGTCATGATGCTCTGCAATTATCTACAACTTTCGCGAAGGGCCGGATTTTTGGCAAACCTTTCTCGGCAATGAAGCGGGGTGTAGTTATTCTACAGCAAGCCTCTGCGGGGATTTTGGGTCTTCGCTCCTTCGCATGGCTTACAATGAGAGCTGCATTCCGTGAGTGATCGACTACGCTAAACCACTTCCGGGTTCCCAATCAGGCTAACTGCTTGACAGTCTTACTAAAAGGTCTACCACGTTCGAGGGAAGCGTTCGCTATTGATCAGCAAGTAGGAATACTCTTATCCCCATCAAGGATCTACAGAGTGCATCCAAATTTATCCTCAAAAAGGAAGATGAGATCTTAATTCTTGATCTAGCAAAAAAAAAAAAAAACCAGGCATGCAAGCAACCACCACCGAGCCAAATCCACCAGAGACCTACGGCAGCCACAGCATCTACCAACCAACATCACATCGTAAAAGTCCAAAAGCACATCTATCTCTACTCTCAATTCAGCCAAAGAATCCCTCCGCCCTCAACTCCTCGGTCTTGCCCTCACGCGACCGGATGATCTCCATCAACCGCCACGGCACATCGAGGCGATCCATGACGATCTCAACGACCTGCACCTGCGTCGGATCACGCAGCTCGGGGTCAGCCAGCGCGGCGACGAGCTCGGTCTTGGACGCGCAGCGACGGTAGCACGTGTGCGGGCTGGGGTGCTGGAAGAGCGGCAGCAGGTGCTGGTAGGAGAGGTTGTTGATGTCATTGTATGCTGGCTTTCGCGTCAGCTGCATTCTCTTCTTTCCTCCATCCCCTCGAACCCTCAATGAGGGGAAGAAAAAAACTTACAGTAGTTCGCGCCGTGGATGATGCGCTCGATGGCGTAGCCCTTGTTGTTGATGAGGAAGATGATGGGCCGCGTGCCCTGCTGCACCATGGTGCCGACCTCCTGCATCGTCAGCCCGAAGCTGCCGTCGCCGACGAACAGCAGCGTGCGGCCGCGCGCGAACCGCGCTTCCGGAGAGCCTTCGCGCTCCTTTGCGGCGGCGATCTCTTCGAGTGCGAGTTCTGAGCCCAGCGCCGCGGGGACGGACCAGCCGATGGAGCCGTAGTAGGTTTGGGCGACGAAGCTGGGGTGGTAAACCGTCAGTCACATTACATTCCCTTCACTCTTGAAGGATGCCCTCTCTGGAGCAAAACAAACTCACCGCACATTCGACACCGGGAACTTCGCATCGCTCAACCCAAACGTGCTAGTCCCCGTATCCGGAATCACCACATCGCCCTCCCTCAAAAAGCTCCCCGCAACCGTCGGCCACAACCACTCCTGCGTAATAGTCTGCTCCGGAAACTTCTTATACCGACAGTTATTCGGATGCGCCGGGTGCTCCGGGCAATCCTCCAGTTTCGGCAGTTTTGGCATCGCCACCTGCTTCCCCTCCGGCCACTGCTCCCCGCCCTTCTTCACCCTCTCCACCAGCTCCGCCAAAAGCGGCTTAATAAACGTCCCCTCGAACTTCTCCTTCCCCCCCTGCACCACGACATCAAACGGGTTGACGACAACCGCCTTCGCCATATCAATCGGCCGCGTAAACGCCCCCGTATTCGTATCCGCCGGCAAGTCTCCCAGCACCAACACCACGTCCGCGGCGCTTAGCGCCTCCGCTACCCCCGGCGCGCCGAGCTTCCCGTTCAGCGTGCCGACGTAGTACTCGCCGCACTCGTCGACGATGCTCTTGCCCATGTTCGACGCGTAGACGGGCAGGCGCAGCGCGGAGACGAGGGCGCGCGCCTCGGCGACGGCGCCGTGGCGCTGCGTGAGGCAGTCGATGAAGATGGCGGGGTTGGTGGCCGCGCGGAGGGCGGCGAGGATGGCGGAGGCGGCGGCGGTTTGGGTGGAGGGGGTGATGGGGAGGGAGAGGTCGAGGGGGGTGGAGAGAAGGGTGGCGGGGAGGGTTTCTTGGGAGAGGTCGAGGGGGAGGAAGATGTAGACGGGGCGCGAGTGGATGAAGCATTCGCGGATGACGCGCTAGTGGCGGGGGGTTAGATGGTGGGCGGGGTTTGGGGGGGGGGGAGGGGAGGGCAGGGACGTACGTCTATTTCTGCGGGGGCGGTGTTGATGTCGTCGAGTTCTGCTTCAGCGACTCGGGCTAGCTTGGACATCTTGCTGTAGACCTGCGGTATACGTCAGTATGTGGAGGAGGAAGAAGAAGAAGAAGAAGAAGAAGAAGAAGAAGAAGAAGAAGAATAATGCGTTCTCGTTGCTACGCACCTTGTGATCGGGATCGTTGCTGATGGCATGGTGTATCAACATCCGGTTCTTCTGCATGTGCCTCGTAGTCTGTCCAACGACATGGATCACCTTGACCTGCTCGCTGTAGGCGCCGGCGATACCATTGAGGGCGCTGAGTTCGCCTTGCATCCATGTCAGAAGGAGCCCACACAATCCACAGCAGAACACTCACCAACACCGTGAGTGGTGACAACAACACCGGGAACGCCCTTGACACGGCCGTAGCCATCGGCAGCGTAAGCGGCGTTAAGCTCATTCGCATTTCCGACTGCGGTAACAACCTCGTTAGTGTCGCCGATCTTTCTATTAAGCTATTCCAAGCTCTTGATCAGACTAACCCCATCTTAGACCTTCGACTTCGTAAATGTAGTCGAGAAACTGGAGGTTGAAATCTCCCGGGACTCCCTGTATTTTTGACAGCACGTGAGCAGGTATGGCGTAAAAGTACAGAGCGGTTCACGTACGAGAATGGTATTAACGCCAACTTGGTGAAGCCTGAGGGGGTCATGTCAGTCAAGCCACTTTCCGAATACACATGACGCGCGAGTGAAACAAAACCAACCTCTCCCAAAGGTAGCGGCCAAGGGTAATGGTCGACATGTTGGGGAATGCGGGGTAAAAGTTGTGGAGGTGTGGTTGGGAAAAAGCCTAAGTGGACAGGAGAGTGGGTAGGATAAAGAACTCGCCCAGGCCCAGAAGGTGTAAAGAAGAAAGATGGTGTACGGAAAGAGAGGATCTAAACCCAATAAAAAGGGATGCAAGACAAGCCAAGCGTTACGGGCCGTGTGGGCGGCGCGGTGAAAAGGGCACGAGTAGGAGTAGCCGGCAGGGCGTGCTTTGTACATACGAAAGGGACAACTGACTACCGAAAACCCCGCGTTCTTGTTGATAATCCAGACAAAGCCGAGCCAATTGCGTTGCTGGAGAACAGAGATAGTGGCTGCCCTAGTGAGGGGCATTCCTGCTCGTAATGCTCGCAGAGCTGCGCGTGCTCCAATAGAGGAATGTGTCCCCGGCTATCCGCGGCCTTACGTCAGGACTGCGGGGATCCCGCATGATGCGCCCCCCAGCCCCCAAAGGATTCAGGGTCCCCCCTCCATTATCACCGAGCATGACTGCCAAAGTCCGCGCAAAGAAAAAAACATATCATTTGACTACTATGGTATCTACTACGATTCATTTTGCTCATCCCCACGCTCGGGATGAGTGGTCTGGAAGAACAGGGACTCAATCTTGCCCTCGTGCTTTCCAACAGCATCCTCCTTCACCGCCTTTATCACCAGGACAGCGAGACAATTAAAACGTAATACTCAGGGTGGTCTTGCTCACGCGCCAACGTTCGAAGGCTGAGTGGCGCCGCCCACCTACTGCTTCTGAGCCTCGAAGCTGGCCAGCCTGAAGTCATACGTCACCTCATAGTCGGCCTTGGGGTCGCCCTTCTTCGGCTTGAAGTCGATGATCAACGACTCCTTGACAGCAAACACCGAGTCATCCTCGAGGTGCTTGTCGTTCCTGTCAAACACCTGCGTCACAATGGGCTTGTATCCGGGCGCCGACACCTACAGAATGTTAGCCAAAGCTCCTCTCTCCACGCACAAAAAAAAGCCAGAGTTACTAACCAAAAAGTGGATGTGCGCCGGCCTCATCGGGTGCCTATCCAGCAGCTGCAGCAGGGTGCCGGCGGGGCCGTCGTACGGAATGGGGTAGCTGACGGGGCGCAGGCAGTAGAAGTCGTACTCGCCGTCGGGCCCCGTGGTGAAGCGGCCGCGCAGGTTGAAGTCGGGCTGGTCGGGGTCCTGCTGCTCGTAGAGGCCGTTTGGGGCCGTGTGCCAGACGTCGAGCTCGGCGTTGGCGATGGGCTTGCCCGTGGCGAAGTCGAGCACGCGGCCGTGCATCCACGTGCGGTCGCCCTGCTCGCCCTCCTTGCCCTGCACGATGTTGCCGCCCATCGGGTACTGCGGCGCGTCCTTGCGGTAGAAGGGGCCCAGGATGGCGGTTGCGGTGGGCGCGTCGTTGGCCTCGGCGGCGAGTTTGTATGTGATTTCGTCGACGAGGGACTCGAGGCCGAGCACGTCGCAGACCAGCTGGCCCTCGTTGCGGCGGTCGTTGGACATGCGGCCCGCTTCGTTGATCTGCGGTTTTGTGTCAATTGCAGTCCGAGGTTTTCAATCGTTCTTGTCCACGCACCAGCTCCAGACCCTGCATCCATTCGTCGACGGTGATCTCGTTCTCGCGGGCCCAATCGTGGAGGTGTTGGATGGCGCTGCCAATGACCTGCCTTATCCGCGGCGAGGCCTTGGGACCGGTGGCGTTGATGACATTCTGGGTGAAGTTGGGGTCGAAGCGGTGGGTCGCCGCAGCGGCGCCGTTGGTGCCGTTGGTGCCCTTGGAACCCATGATGCTATGAATTGGTGGTGGTGAGGAAAAGCGTGAGAGGCGGGAAGCGCTGCGTCAGACGAGTGAGGGGAAAGGTTTCTTGTCGGTCAGACTGTGCTCGGGGGCGGACAGCTTATATTTGAGCCGTCTCATGGCTGATTGTTAATACTCCCCCCGTGAATAGACGGCTGATCCACCATCGCGGGGACGGCACCGCGGGGCTGCCATGCGTCGGGAGTGCCGTCGGATAGCGGTTTGACCTTATCGGATAGCGCACGCTATATGGACCTGGGTCGGCCGAGGCGTTGAACACGGAGCAGCCGGGGAACGCGACACGGAGGCACGCGGCCGGGGCGGTGTCAAGGCCATCGGCAGGGAGTCGTCTGATATTTGATCTCCGGGACGGCGCTGCGGGACTTCGCGGTGGCGCGGATAACCTCCGTTCGAGCCATTCAGGGACGCTGAGGAACCAATTCCGCAGTGGGTGCCGTGTCGTAAGATCTACCTGCTCGATTCAGACCTTTGTGCAATCGGCGCGCGAGGAGAAAAAGGGCAGGTCTGCTCTTTGATGCTTTTGCGATATGCGCGTCGCGAGTCCAATGGGCGGAGTTGCGTTAGGCCTTATGTAATGCGCCAAGACGTTCCGCCGTGAACCCGCAACCTCACTCCAAACCCGCCGCAGCAGCCCATCGCGAGAAGCTCCTAGCACCCCATCTATCCACACAATGGCTTCCGGCTTTGGCCTCAACGGCGGTACGACTCCTCGCCCCTCCAATTGCCCTCCTGCACCGCCCGCTGGGTCCCCGTCGCCTTGACACGCTTCCCCGTCGCTCGCACAACCTCCGTCCGACTCCATCCCGCGCAACGCGCACGAACCCTCGATCTCCCCCGGCTGTGATGCTGATGCGCCGTCTCTCTCAATCACAGGTCCCTCCCGCTGCTTCCCCTTCTGGCAGGAAGTCCTCGCCTGCTATGTGACCAACAGCAACGTCGACAGCCCCAACGCCAAGGGCAAGTGCCTGGCCCCGCTCGACGACTACTACGAGTGCCTGCACCACAAGAAGGAGGTACGCGGCCCCCTCCCCCTCGATCTACACGCACATGCAGCCCTACACACTTCCCGACGCGACGGACCGAGCAAGGCGGGGGAATTCTGGTGGCCGTATCCGATACTCGTGTGACGGGAAAAAGCGGGAGGGCTAACAGTATGGTTTCAAACGCAAAACAGCACGCCAAGACCTTCGCCATGCAGGCTGCCCTGCGCAAGGCTGAGGCAGAGGGCGGCGCGGCCCGCGACGGCGAGCGCAAGCCCGAGGACGTCAAGACGCTGGGCCTGCTGCCCGGCGGCCCCGAGGAGAAGAACCTCAGGCCCGGCATCATCCCCGCCAAGAAGCCGTCCATGTTCTAATTGCGCTGTTCGTGGTGGTGGTTGAAGGACATTTTGCGGGGAAGGGGACGCCTAGAGGCGCACGGGAAGAGATTAGAGATACAAATCAAAGGCGCCGGGTACGGGGATCCGATACGACGACCCCTTGTGTATATGATATCCGACGACGGGAATTCCATGACATATGGAGAGCAAGATTATTTTTTTCCTCTTTTGGGTTGGGGAAGTTAACTTTCTCCGGTTCTTGGCTAATTCTACGCGCGGGGCAGCTGAGCTTGTTACTAAAAATTGACCAACAGCGCAGGGCGAGATATACAGTGCAACTCTGAGTGGACCGATAAGAGGTCGGATTAAAGCACTACTTTACTCGCGAATCCAGGCAAAAGGTACTGCTTCCGCGGAATTCCTCGTTCTGCGTCTACATCCACGATCAAGCCGCTCTCGTCCCAGTCGAAGGCCGCCCATCTTCCGATCCGATCACTGTAGCGATCATTCAACACTTCTACCACGCTCACACGCTTTGCTCTGATTCCGACGGCCTGGGATGGACTCTTGTTTGAGAAGGATTCGAGGATGACGGCGTCTTGGCGGGTGAGGGGCTGTGGGGTGATCAGAAGGTGGAGGTCGGCGTGGGACGGCAGGATTGGGCAAAGAGCCGGCATGAGATGATCTGCGGAGGTGAAGATTGACGAGAGTGGTGGGTTGGTGGCTGATGAGAGGGCTTTCGGGACGGTCGTTACGGCGTTGATGAGGATGGTGCTAAGTTTGTGCATTGCGGTGAGCTGGGATAGGGAGCGGAGAAAGGTCGTCAGAAGCGCGGAAGCTGCTATCGTCAGAGATGCCATGTTGATGAGGGATTGCGGAGCGTACCTTGGGCATAGTTGGTTTTCATCATGGGACTGACCGCGTGAGTGATGTTGTCAACCACAATCATGCCAACTCTCCAATCTTCCACCTCCCCCTCCATTTCTTGGATATGATTTTCGTGCTGCTTCACGCTCTCTGAGGGTTGCGCCTCTTCATCGACCAGCATTATATCGTCATCCTCATCTTCCATCTCATCATCGCTGTCAGGAATAGTGCTCCTGATGCGTTTTAGTTTACGACCACTTTCTTGCTCTTGGGCTAAGACAATTGGCTCAATGGGTGTAGGATGTAAGAGATCATTCTCTTTGCGTTCGCGTTCATGGCGTTGGATCTCAAGCCTCTCTTGCACCTCGGAGATGGCCTCAATCATGCCAAGAAAGTCGAACACACGCATGATCTTTACCCTGCCAAGAATTTGCTCGGCAGCGGCTTCTTGTGCGTCTGCTGCATCTTTGACTCTTCGATGTCTCGGATCATGTCGGAGCCTTGACAGAATGGTACTGTAGAGTCTGAGGACATCAAAAGTGCCAGTCGTGTCTATCACGACGGCTTGGTTTGTGTCTTGATTCAGTAGATGTGTGGTCAGAAATGCGAAAGCGAGCTAGAAACGCGAAGAACGTTAGGATTTAGTTTCATTGAAACGGGACCAGTAGCTTGGATGTGTGAGTGGTACTGACCGCAGTCTTGCCGGTTCCTTTGTCGCCGCTAATGCATGTCAAGCCTCCGACGCCGAGATCAAGGCCTCCTCTGAGAGCGTCGTCGATTTCCTTGGTGGCGCAGGCTGTCCGTGGTAATTGCTTGTCGGTTCCGCTAGGCGCCGGCGTGAGCAACGTGGAGGCTAGGATTGGCTGGATCGTGCTTAAGCGCTCCATGTGCGTCGATGCTTCATCCGAGCTTTTTGCTATGCCTTCCGGGGCCGAGGGAGTGAGGCGCGAAGGTGTGAGGTCATGGTCCAAGTGTCGGCACCGGTCAGCTACCCGGCGCCAATTAGGCCGCCGCGCTAGTGACTGAGCCGATGATCGACCCGCGTCCCTTTTCTGTCGGCTGTCGGAGCTTCGTAAACTCCACTCCATCACCTTGTCACGACACATAGTGTTGAAATCACTCGCTTCTCTGACAAACTGAATAGGCTAACCATACGCCTTTACCGGTGTTCTAGAGAATACCCAATAGACTCTTGTTTTCCACCTGCATTCGCCATGAAAAGCCGAACCAAGAAAAAATTTCCCAAACACAAGCATTAACGAACAGAACGATCCCTGAGAGTTCCAGCTCCCAATTTCACCCAACTATCCATCTGCCCCAATCCATCGCCGCTAGCTTTATGACCGAGGCCATGTCGTGGCCATCTCATAGCTCGGAGGCGCCCTCACACATTCTTCCGTCTGTGCATGATCGTCATATCCATCGGCAAGAACTTTCTCGAGCTAGCAACACGCAGTCAGCAAGGAGACGTTAATTCCAGCCAACTCAAGGGTGAAAAGTCAAGGGAACATACCGACACATCACCCGCACCTCCAACCGGAAAATCCGCGTAAACCTCGACCTTCCGCCTGAGCGGCAGCCAAACCGTGCGTGACAACGGCCGCTGCTTCTCCTCGTCATCATCATCCTCGTTCTCTCCATCCGGCCGCTGCTGCTCCTCCGCCTCATACGCCAGCCCGAGCGTCACCTCCAGCTCGTACGTGCGTGTCACAGCAACGCCGCCGCCGTTGTTGTTCCCGCCACCACCACACAGCACATCGAAGCTCGGCGCCACGGACGCCGGCACAGGCCTGTCCTGCCACAGCGCCGGCGGCAGCGCCAAGCGCGCGCCGACGGGCGCATCCGGGTGGCCGATTGGCACGCGCAGGTTACAAGTACTAGCGATGACCCAGGTGTCTGCCTTTTCCCTCTGCTTCGTCTTCTTCCCCTGCTCCCGCTCGTCCCGGCCCGATGGCGACGGCGAGGGCGACCGCGACCGCGTCGAGCGCGAGGACGACGACGAAGACGGCCGCTGCTGCTTCTGCACGGTGGTGTAGCCGATCAGCGCGACGTGCAGGCTGCGCAGGTAGAGCTGCCCCGCGAAGGCGTTGACCTTGCGGACGGTCAGCGAGAGCGGCACGTCGTGGTTGCGGACGAGGATGTCGGGCGCGGGGAGGCGCGCGTCGATGAGGATGGAGGCGAGTTCGCGGGTTGGCGAGGTCATCACCGCCGTTTCGGCGGCTAGTTCGGGGTAGAGGCCGGCGGTGGTGGTGAAGTCAGGGGAGGAGGTGGAGGTGGAGGCATCGGTGAGTTGGGTTGGTGTGCGCTGGAGGTCGAATTGGTGCTGGTGCTTGATGCTGGTTAACTGCGGCACCGGGTCCCGGGCTTGCTCGATTGGGCGGAAGTTGAAGCGGTATGTCTATGAGCGTCAGTTGGGGGACGTCTTGGTGGGGAAGTGTGTGTTTGTGGCTTACGGTGTGCAGGTTCTCCTTGAAGATATCGGGCCTCGTTGCCGTGGCTTCGATGCAGTAGACGATTTCGATTTCGTCTAATGGTTGCGTGAAAGATGGCGGGAGGCCCCGTTCGGTGTAGGTCCGTGGTTTTACGTCCAACTTATCCATAAGATCTCCATCCATTCCGAGAGTGTCTTTTCGGTAAGTCGTTGTTGCGGGCATCTTCAGTAGGAGGTGGATTAGCGGAATTGCCAGGACCGTCACTGAGAATGAACATACCCTGAACTGGAATGGAAAGCCATGCTGTCCAGCAGAAAAGCTTGTCGAGGTGCTCCAGAAGCATTTCCGAGATGATGCAGGCGAAAGAAGTGTCTTGGCGATACTGAGGAACTAATGCGGTGAAGGTGATTAGTACGGAAAATGCCGGGTGTCTCTAATGCATTACTTACCTCGTGGTTGACATGACACGGTTTCCATGTTTCAGAATTCGTGTCATTGGCAGGCGTCAACGAGGTACGGATGTAGCCTTTGAGCCGAACATCAACCGTTGACACTGTCACTCTCCGCCTTGCGTTCAGGACGACTCTTCCGGAGATGATATCACCGGTGGTGATGATCTGATCGTGCGGGTTGAGAACGATTTGAATATCCATAATTAGGTAGTTGTTTTGATGAGGAAATAGTGGGATTGGAAGCACTTTGCTGGATGCATAGAGGTTGGAATTTTTCACTCTTATATCTTTCATGTCTTCGGCGCCGTGAGAGGAAAGCGAATGGATCCGGAAAGTTGTGAGAGCAAAATTAGCTGGAACTCAGGATGCCCACTCTCGTCTGGTCAGTTTGGAATACGGTCAGTCTGCAGACCTATGCCGGCATACCCACCCGGAGCCGTCGGCTAGATGCTTGGCAAGCGCGGATATTGGATATTGTCGGACGACGTCGGCGGTCCAGCCAGCGGAATCTAGCCCCATCAGGTAACACACAGCCCTCGAAACACCGCCTCTACATATTCGCTAAGGATTTAGAGGCTATGAAGAGCTTGAAACATGGGTCCGGGTGTCTGAGCCTTGTAGGGCTGGCGGATCCTCGGTGCTTGGCAGGCCTCTCCCGACCGTTTTGGGTCGGCCTTGGGACCGCGTCCGAACCGAACCAGCCCAGTACATGAGACGCCCTCTCCCGAGTTCGCGCCCCAGAAGAAACACCGCCACATCTTCAACCCCTTTGCCAATCTAAAAATATTCGTGTTCGGGCGTACAAATTGGGCGGCGCCACAGTGCGAGTAGAAAGGGCAATGGCTTCAATGTTGTCCGCGACTCCACAACCCGAGGCTGCTAACCCTGCTGTGAGTACTGCTAGACCTCAGACGGCCGCGAGCCCTCAGGAAACACGATTTTCCAGATCTACGCAAGGGTCTTAGTAACTAACAAGTGCCGCAGTGTGACCTTTGCCACTCGCGAAAGGTACGGGTCAGATCTCACCCTCGTCTTCGGCTGCCGACACCGCTGCCGATCTCACAGACGACTTCTCGTCAACCTTCTATAGCGGTGAAAGTACTGACTTGACTCTCAACAGGTCAAGTGCGACCGCAACGAACCGTGCGGGAACTGTTTGGACGCCAATGTTCCTTGCAAGCGCGAGCGGTCCCGGCAGCCCCTACCCCGGAACAAGCCACCCCCGAAGCCAACGTATGTTCCATCTCCCGTTACAGACCTGCCGCAAACCGCAGTGACTGACTCGGTGATCGTGTTTCCCAGGCAGGAGGAAGTCAAACGGTTGACGGATCGGGTCGCATTTCTGGAAGACCTGGTCCGAACCGTGGACATGCCACGTCCGGTGTCCACTGCACATAGTGCCGGTTCACTCGACCACCACACTATCACTTCGCCGGAAGAGAAAGATGATTCCTCTTCGACAAATGGCAGGCTGAGCCTGCCAGAGACCAATGCGCTCCGGAAGCGAAGTCAGTCTCTGGGCGCGAAGGATGAAGCTTTCGCAAAGAGACGAAAGCTTGAATCGGGCTTTAGCCCGTTGGAGAGTATCCGGGCCATGAGCACACCACAGTCTCCGTCCACTATCGAGGCTCAGTCGTATATTCTACACGAACTCGAGGCTGCCAAAGACCTCAGCAGCACACGACGGACGGTGCTACGCTCTGTTGGAGAGCTAATCAGTCAGCTTGACAGCAAGTTGAAAGTATCCACCAATACGAAGGTCGACTCGAGCAGTACCGGGACTGGCTTACAGGATATCCAGTATCCCTCAATAGAGTTTCTGTGCTGGATGCTAAAGGGTGAGATGCCCTCACTCCGATTCACCTTATTATCAAGTCACTGACAGTGCGTCAGAAATCAACAATAATCAGCTAGGTTTTCATGTGTCATATTTCTTTAAGCACATCAATCCCAAAACGCTAGAGAAGATGGGCATTGCGTTAGTGCATCAGTCGGAGGACGAGGATACACTACTTCTCTATTCAATTTGCGTCAATTCCATGGCCATCAAATTCCTCAATACAGTCATGCCTGAGGAGGAGAGTCCAGAGTTGGCCGAGGAGATGCGGCTCGCTGTGCAAAAATACATGGCCAGCGCCAAGCTCGCACAGAGTCGGATCCCGCTCCTAACGGCCCCGTCCCTCACTCTTCTGCAAGCGCTCCTCTGTAGTGTACGTATGCCATCCGAACTGCTCAGAACCCAGCGCCTAATATTGAGTCATGTAGGCATTCATGATGCAGGGTCAGGGGGATACAGCAGCTTGCTGGACCTTTACCTCGGCCGCCTGCAAGACCTGCATGGATCTCGGTCTCCACACCAACCGAGGCGACTTCTGGGATCCCCGCGCGGAGATAAATGAGCTCTACTACTGCTTCGTCTGGTGTTACATCCTCGACAGGAGCTTCTCCATGAATCTCGGCCGCCAAACATCTGTTCTAGACACCAATCTCATTAGGAGCACTGAGTCAGTCTGGAACGAAGCCCCGGTCAACCTCCTCACCGTCTACCTGGAGTTGGCCCGAATCCAATCTGTCGTCGTATTGGAGCTCAGTCACAAGACCAAGGACGAGGACAGCCCTGAGCATCTACACAAGTCAACTCTCATTACCAAGCTGATAGAGCAAATGCAATACGCAAAGAAGGAAATGGACAGGGTAAGTGGTGCTGTCGGTCTTCACCCCATATACAGCATTATCTGACAAAATTTCAGCTGAAAGAAGAACCCGAAAAATTCCGCGGCCTCTTCATGGGAAGCGAAATGAACGCTCTCGAGTTTTCCTATTGGTCTGTGATGACCGCAATAAGACGTTGCGAGCGCGCTGCCACCGGCTCCAAGACGTCCGTCGGCGACAATTGCCTAGAGGCTGCTCGATCAGCCATCTCCTCCTTGCGGTCCCTTCAGAAGCCGCAGTTAGCAAGCGAGGAAGGAGGTATTGGGCTGGGGACGACGATGAGCTTCGTGAATTGGTGAGTGACAATTCCCTTGCCCAGACCAAAACATATCAGCCACTGACAGAACATTCCCCACCAAGGACGCTCCTCTTCTACCCCCTCACCCCCTTCTTCGTTCTCTTCTGCAATGTCGTCGCCACCTCCAACCGCGACGACTTCGCCCTGATGAAAGCCATGACCGAAGAGCTCTCCGAGCTCGCCGACCGCAGCACCTCCATCGACCGCCTGCAACGCCTCTTCACCGTCTTCCTCGGCCTGGCCGAGCCCCTCCTAGACGAAGACGTAGACGCCGACGGCGAAGACGACGACGACGGCAACACCGCCACCACCACCAACGGGACAGGCAAGCAGGATAGCAACAAGACCCGCCGCGGCCGCCGCCGACACCGCCGCAAGCACAGCAGCTACGGACAGGCGCTCGACATGTACTTCAAGCTCAAGGGCTCATCCACCAAACCTGGCTCCTCGGTCACCGCCGCCCCTTCAAATTCCCGACCAACAACCCGCAACCACCCTAACCCTACCTCCGACCCCGCTCCCCCGCCCCCCTGGGACACAGGGCCCTACACCAGCACCTTCCACCTCTCCGACATCGTCCCCACGACGACCACCGCTGCAAACGCGACAGCCACCGCAACCGCCCCGCCCTCCCCCTCCTCCGCCTTCCCGCCCCTGCGCACCTCTTCCGCGCCCACCCTACCCGCAGCAGCGGCGGCAGCAGCGGCGGCTGCTGCAGCGAGTAATATGTACGTCTCCTCGCCGGCGCCGTCGCACGTGTCGCACAATACGTCGATCGGGACGACGGTGGCGGGCGGAGCGGGCGGCGGAGCAGGAGGGCCAGGGGGTAATTATGCGATGCAGTACTCGCTGCCGCCGCCGGAAGCCACGGAGGGGTACGACATCCCGTTCTGGGAGCTGTTTGACGTGCAGCCGAGTTTGGATTGGTTGGATGTGGATTTGGGGGGTGTGATGGGGATGGGTGGGGGGCATGGTGGTGGGGAGGGGCATTAATGGGGGTGGTGAGGCGAGGACGGGGGAGTAGGGGTAAGGCCGCGGGCGGCAGGTTGGGGGAGGTGGGGTGGTTTGTGGGGTTTGACAGTCTGGAAGAACGGATTTTTCTTTTGTATTCTACTACGATTTCACTTCACTATGTTTATTATGAATTTTCCTTTTGTCTCGATCGGATTGAAACAGAATAGACAGATACCATCCGTAGCATCCATTCAGCTTGAGGCAGGTCTCTACGACCAAGCTTCTATATTGATCAAGAGCCAGGCAAGGTGTTCAGGAACGTTGAAACACCTGAATGCCTCCACAACCATGTTTACCCGTCACACATCCGGTATCTTTTCTGAAAATTAGTCTAAATGAGTACTGAAGCAACTGTCGCCTCCGCAATAGCCGCCTCCTTACACAAGCCCTTCGTAAGTTTTGTGCTAAGCAACAGACCGTTTCTGACCAGTGAACTTTTTTCGTCCTCAGAAGAGGCATTTCAGCTGGAAATAGTCTATCAGCTACTCTACCTTGTCCAGACTGCTAGCCCCAATTATCTCTCTTTGTGTCAGTGACCTCCTGCTTGAGCCCGAAGTAGTTCCGAATATCCATCGTAAACTTCCTGACAATCTTTCTCCCTGACACTCTTTATATCGTGGTCCATTGTATCGTAGTCTGGCACATCGGGAAGCGGTCTATGCACAACGAGGGAGGAATGCGTGATCACAAACCCGTCCCCGACCCCGAGCAGCTCCAACACATCTTTACTGACTCGTGGGTTAGCAATCGACATGTTCATCTGGAACAGCACCATGAGAGCCACAAAGGCGGGAATGGGGATAGCGAGTCGTTTCGGGAGGTGATTTGGCTTCGCGGTAAAAGGCCCTGTCCCCTGGAGTGCGGGCAAGTGATATAGGAAGCATCTTCTGTGCTTCACATGATCGGCCGGATACTCGGCCATTGCGGCATACGAGAACGTTCCTTCCTTCGTCCGTCGGAAGACCACAGCTTTTCTGACATCCTCATCGGGCCACGAGTACGCGAACTCGAATGCAATGTCAAACGGAAGTATTAGCAATTCGGTAGCAGACATACTCCGGTCGTGATCGAATTGGTACACCTGATCCCCAGCGCCCCTGCAGGGCGCCCAGAGTCCCGAGACCCAGCGGGACTTCAGGGCTGTGGGGATGTTGATTATTCCAGGTGCGTAAGAATGTTTGATGCCCAACCAGATCGGCCCTTCTCGATGGCTCTGTCCTTCTGGCGTCTTCAAGTAGTCACTCAGTATCGGAAACGTAAGCCCAAGATACTCTGCAAGGCATATCGCGTCTTTAAGCAGAACATGATCCGTCACAGTTGACTCAGACTCGGCACGAAGTACCCTGAAGAAAAGGGTCTCGAGGGATATTGAGTAATCCGCGTCAAGAGTTCCTTCTTTAAGAACTCCAGAGTCCTGGGCCAATTCGAGAAGGGCGTAGACCTTGTCCAATAGTTCTGCGCACATTCGACCACCTTGGAGGAGTTGAAGTAGCTGGATGAGAGTTGGCTTTTCGCTAATTATGCCCTTTTCCCAGTGGGTTCTCGCCGTTTCGGATATCTGGAGCGCTCGTCCCATGTGCTTCTCGCACCAGGCTTCAAGCGCCAGACCTTTCCCATCAGGGCTTCCAGCACCGAGCTGCACTGTTACGAGGCGTTGCATTGTTGTCCACTGAAAACTGCAGGTTCCGCAAAGGAGGCGTACCTTGTCTCGACCAAGGATGACTTCCTGGACGATCCACATGCGGCCCCAGTAATCGCGCGAGAGCAAGTCGACGAGCTGGCGATTGACAGGACGTGAGTCGTCTCCGAAATGGTCCTGAAACTCCCGTCTCAGGCGCAGTTTAAAACCATCAGCGTCTTTCCACAAATCATCATCAATTCTTTTCAGGGCTGCGGCCAGCTCGTCATATTCCCCGTGCGGCTGTCCCAGCCAGACAAAAACAGTGGCAGCATTGCGGTAGATGCCGGCCATTTGCATGACCTGATGGTTCCTTTCAAGCATGTCTTCCTGGTTAATGCAAAGGGCGTCGATGAAAATGTTCTCGCATGCCGTCGGATGTGAATTAACAGCCGATTCAAGGAAATTCAATAAATTTCTGCGGACACGGAAACGTTGGCCGTTGAGGCGAATCCATCCACAAGGCTGCTCTGGGCCCCAGGTGTACGAAAGAGCGTTGTAAGGGCGATCGGCGGCGTCATCGCAACTGTGCGTGCTGACAGTACAATCAACCTGGCCGTCTCGCGAGAGCCCGTGTACGTGAATGAGACGGCATGAGTGCTTGGTCTGGTCAAGCGGCTCGTGGTGAAAATGTTCGGGCTGAGGTGGGGGAGTCATGTCGCAGAGTAGTAATCGTGTATATGGTTACGTAACCGTCCGGATAAAGCTTGAGCTCCGGAGAGGGCAGGAAAAATCGCTCGGTCGGTGGACGAGGCTGCGGGGCTGTGAGGCAACAACTCACTCGGCGGGGATGCTTTGCGGCACAGCCTCCCGCGCACCGGTGCAGCGGTGCAAGAAAACCGGCTTTACCATGGCGCCACACCGCCGTGTAGGTCCCTCTCAGAGATAAGAAGGGGGCAGTGCAATGAATCCAGCGGACCTCATGTTAGCGTGGTCACTTTGATGTGCCTTTTGTTTCGCAGCAGGCGGGCGCGACTCCTGTTCACCCCTGCCACCCACAAGCCTCATTTGTCTAGCCAACAAATGGCATTTGGCGGCCGCGAAGCTTTATTTGCTACGTGCTCATCATCAATGCTGAAAGGGCGTTTCGGAATAGCGCTTTCAATGGGTAGCTGAGAGTGGGGTTCGTAGATGGCAGCCTGCAGAAAGTTATTGAGGCTGGCGGGGTGCGGTCTCCACCCGATAAAACCTTTTAATCAACGCGCCGATCACGACGATATTCACGCTGTCTACTCGTCCCATGAGTGAACCGACACTTCAAGCGGAGGTTTCTTCGTCCTTGTGGCAGAGTCGGTGGTAATCCGCTCATCTGGCGTGAGAGTTTGATTTGTTTACAGTCCTTTCCAGCGGCTGATGGTCAGTGTGGACTGTGGCGGAAGCTTGGAGAAAGAGTTCATCATCGTGCAATAGATCAGGTTATCTGGTTTCAGCTCTTGCGGGCAGCCGATATTTCTACCTGCGGAACACAGGAATGCCAATTTACGCAAAGCCCTGGCCGCAAGAGAGGGGTCTTCTTGGTGTCAAAAAAAAAAAGACAATTCAAAGCGGCAATGAATCGCAGGAACAGCAATGAGTATTAAATTTAAAATATGTAAACGGGACGAGGTGTCTTCCAGTTGTGAAAATCAATCAGCATTGGGCACCTCGACAGATGACACCTGACCAGGCTCATGCGTGACAATGTGATGGCTAGGATTAATGCACGTTCGCTCAAGGAAGAGAAACAACCGATTCTTGGCCTCGCTCTCATCAAAAGTCCTCATCCAACCATAGACCATGACAAGGTGCATGATGCAGGCGATGTGTCCAGGGAGTCTTCAGGCGGTGTGCGGTACGAATGCGCAGCACGCACGGTCTTTGAACCCCGGCATCGTCGTTCGTCAGGCTGAGTCCCACATTGTTGACCGGCTAGGCAGCAACGAGCCTTCGATTTTTCGAACACTAAAGTATTAATCTGCCCCGATTGTTCCTGGAACACGCACAGAGACGGTTTTCTTCTCCGTTCCTTTCCTCCACAAAACACCCATTTGAGATCATCATGGAGAAATCGCGCTACACCGTTGGTTGGATCGCAGCCCTCAGCATTGAGCTCACAGCTGCCATCCAAATGTTGGATGAGCAGCACGATCCTCCTGCCGATTATTTCACGCATCCTACGGACACGAATGCGTACGTGTTTGGAAGAGTCGGAGACCATAATGTCATTATCGCCTTTCTCGAGGCAGGTGCATACGGCACAGTTCCAGCAGCCACGACAGCAACCAACTTGTTCAGATCATTCCCCAGCATCAGAATATGCCTCTTGGTTGGAATCGGAGCCGGGATTCGTCGTAAGGGGTTCGATGTTCGCCTTGGTGACGTTGTCATCAGTCAGCCTGATGGGAAGTCGGGCGGAGTCTACCAGTATGATCTTCAAAAGGCCAGGTCTGATGGCCAACTTGAGAAGATTGGAGTACTAGATAGACCTTCGACCCTCCTGCTGAAAATCTTGAAGCGAGTCCAAGCACACCATGACGCGTATCCATCGAAAGTTCCGGAACACACGAAACGCATCACCCCTAAGATGAAGAGCAACAAACCAGGGTACGTGCACCAAGGACTCGAGAATGACAGGCTCTTCAAGTCTACCTTCTCTCACGTTTCTGAATCTTCGGCCGTCGACCATGAGGACTTCGATTTTGACGACTCGGACCCCGGAGAACCAAGCAAGACCTGCCCTCACTGCCCTTCGGAGGAAGAGGTCAAACGTCAGGAGCGTCTCTCTGGAACCGATCCTCAATTCCATTACGGGACTATTGCCTCTGGCAACACTCTCGTCAAGGACGCCAGTACGAGAAACAGAATTGTTGCGCAGGTGCCGGGGGACTGTATTTGTTTTGAAATGGAAGCGGCGGGTATGATGAATAACTTCCCTTGCCTGGTTATACGCGGCATATGTGACTATGCAGATTCACACAAGAACGACCGATGGCAGCCTTACGCGGCGTTGACTGCTGCAGCGTATGCGAGGGAGTTCCTGGAGTTCGCGCCCAGAGGAGACATTGAGACGGAGAAGCCTTTGGCTGAGCAGCTCGATGACAGTGGGTACATGTCTTTCTAAGGTAGTTGAACTGAGCTTAACCCTTTCAAGTTGCGAGAACAATTCACAGCATTCAAAATACCACAACCGAGACCAATGCAACGCTTGAAGTTGAAAAGGCGGAGAAATGGCTTTCTGCATTCGACCCTTCAGGTAACTACAATCTCTCAATCGATGAACGTAATAAGGGTCTCAGTGATTCAGGAAAATGGCTTCTGAAGACCCAAGAGTTTCTTGAATGGAAGAATACGAGGAACTCATTTCTATGGCTCTACGGCCTTGCCGGATGCGGCAAAACAATTCTGTGTTCCATAGCTATTGAACACCTGAAGTCAGAAGTCGACCGCATCGTTCTCTACTTCTACTTCGCATTCAACGACCAGCGGACCCGTTCTAAGGGTAGTCTGCTGCGGTCACTCATTATGCAACTCAGTCGTTATGATGAGCGCGCGATGGAGAAACTTGTTGAACAGAAGAAAGATAACAAAGACGAGCAACCATCAGATGAAGAACTAGGAAACATATTCATATCCATGGCCGCCCTCTTCAAACAAGTCACGATTGTACTCGATGGTATTGATGAGTTGGAACGCAAAGAGGAGACGAGACGCAATGTGCTCCTATGGATCAAAAAGACCAACAGCGTCGATGCTGCAGACATACGAATCCTTGCTTCCAGCCGCAACGAAAGGGACATAGCAATGGAATTAGAGGCCATCGGCCCAGCTTTCGAACTTACTCCCGAGACAGTCGAGGAGGATATCAAGGCCTTTGTCCACAAGCACATCCATGACGAGTCCTCTCGTTTGCGCCGTTGGCGCAACCGCCCGGATGTACAGGAAATGATCGAAGACACACTCACTGAGAAGGCGAATGGAATGTCAGTAGCTATCCCCTCTTCTATTTTAAAGCCAAATGGCGGAAGGCTCATCATTCTTGTCCGTGATCACTATAATATACCAAAGCCACGCTGACCTTTACCAGGTTCCGTTGGGTCGCCTGTCAGATACAGGCCATACAGGATTGCCTTGATTTCAAAAGCTTACGCGAACGGTTGTCATCTTTGCCAAAGACACTAGACGAGACATACGACCGGATCATCGAGGACATATGGGAGAGGCAGCAATGGGAAGCAATAAAGCTTCTTCAGTTCCTGGCATTTGCGGAGCGACCTTTGGAACTTGTTGAGGCTATCGACATAATCGCTGTCGATTTGACAGAGACGCCATCTTTTGATCCCATCAATCGGATGCCTGAGCCGCTGGAAATAATGGAAGTATGTTCAAGTCTCGTGGTGTTAGATTTGCACGACCCCGAAAATAAATGGCTTCAGCTCGCGCATTTTTCTGTCAAGGAGTACCTGGTATCGGGACGTATGCGCTCTGATCTTCTCGAGTATTTCAAAGAGGTACCTGCGAATTCTTCTATCGTCAGAATATGTCTCGGATATCTGGAAAGCGTCCTACCATCCGTGATGAGCGTTTGGACCAGTGTTCCAGACGAGAAGGAGATCTCCACTCAGTTTCATGGAAAGCCAGCATGGGAGCATGACCTATCGAGATTTCCACTGATGGACTACGCAGTTGATACCTGGCCTGTTCACGCGCGACGTTGCGAGAAACACCCAGGGACCGCAATGCAGATCCAAAAATTCTTCGAATACGAATCATGCTGCATCAAATGGCTCCTTTGCTTCTGCGCCACGCGGTTTTTTCCAATAAAATTGGGCGAACGCGAAATATTAGAAGCCTCATGTCCTATTCTCCTCAGCACTTACCTGGGTCTCCAGGGAATGGCTCTGAAAATGGTCGATGAGGGCTTCAGTATTGAAGCAGAAGTTATATCGGAGGAGGTGCTCCGTTACCTTGTACCTCAATACCACCTTTCTTTGGAGACATCTTGTGGAATGGCATACGAAACAGCCGATGGAAAACATCTTATGACTTCCCACCTCTACCTGGCCGTATATCAAGGCATGCATGACGTTGTCAAAGCCCTCATCAAGAGAGGTATAGACATTCACGAGGATGGGGGCGAGCTTGGAACTGCCCTCAATGTCGCGTGCGAACGGCGCTTGCTGGATATCACTACTACACTCTTGCAGCGCAGTTGGGATTGTGCCACCCAAGAATACCACAAGGAATACATCCACGGGGCTTTGGAAATGACTGTCGAAAATTGGGGCACTTGCATTCCGGGTTTTATGGTTCCGATCCGAGATCAGCTTGTCGAGTCTTGCCTCTCTCTAGACAATCCCGGTTCGATCCTTGATGACTGCCTCAAAACAGTATTCTTGGATCGCAATCTAGATCTGGCCCGAAGATTGATTCGGAAAGGAGCATGTCCCGGTGTGATTGCCTACCTGGATCCCAGAGATATCTTCTCTAATCAAAAACGTTTTCTGTCCTTTCTTAATCTCTTATTGGAACAAGAGTACAGCGATATCAATCCTGACGCACTCCAAAGACTGTTCACTGCCGAAGGTCCCGGGAAAAGAGATACGTTGATCCAGCAAATTATTGAAAGGCGCTTCAACAAAGTTTTGGCCTTCATAATTGCTCACGGCGTCGATCGAGAATGCTATGTTCCGCTGGATCTTCCGTTGGATCAATTCCAGGTTTGCAGGGGATGGTGCACGATTCTTTTCTTCGCTATGCAAAAATGCAATTGGAAGGCCGTTATGATTCTGCTTGATGCCGACACAGACTTCTCGTATCAGGATAAACCTGGAAAGTACACGCCGTCTCTGCACTACATAAACGAAAGGAACGGGGAGTACAATGAGACATGCCTCCACGTAGCCGCCAGGGGGGATTACATCGAGATCATGAAAGCACTGATATCATCCAGAGATAACCTAGACGTCAAAGACTTGTATTCACAAACACCGCTGCATCACGCTTGCAGGCACAACAGGTTGGAAGCGGTCAAGTTTTTGGTGGAACGCGGTGCAAATTTGCAGGCCCTCGACTTCCGCGGCAAAACACCACTGCAGTTAGTTCGCAAGAGTGCACGTAGCAAGGCTGTCGTTGAATGGGTCATGCAATGGAGCTCTAAGATCAGCAGCGACAATGATCCCCATTCTAAACGTGAGAACAAGGTCGACAAGGATGACGCTCTACATACAGAACGGAACTCGAAACGTCAGAAAATTGGATGAAAAAGCTCTTCGGGCAGCAGCATCTTCACGGTCTCCTCATCACCGCGATACGTCGCCATCTGCAGCAGCATGTCATACGCATTCCTAAACCCGTCGCGGCCCGCTCACCATCTGCTCCACACACCCCACACACCCGGCTGGCCACGGCCGCATGCAGCGCCGCCCGGTACCGATCTTTCTCTCGCCGTCAACGCCGCCGCCCTCGTCGAGCAGCTCCCCAACGACGTGAGCGTGGTGACTTCGCTCGCGTCGAGGTCCTTGGCATCGCAGTGGAGGAGCAGCAGCTTGACGGCGGCGAGGTCGCCGCTCTGCGCCCCGCGCAACGCAGCGGCGTGAGGTCCCCCTCGGCGTGTCCTGCGCGGTGACGGCGGCCCGCAGCGCCTGGGCTGCGGTGTGGATGTCGATGGGTCGCGATGCCGTGGCGACGAGCTTCGCGGCGGGGTCGCCGTAGGGGGGCAGAGCCCAGTGCAGCGCTGTGCTGCTGATGCTGTTGATGGTTTACGTGGTGCTGGGTCAGGGGAGGGTGAGTGGGAGGGTGGCAGTTGCTGGGCCAGCGGGCGGAGAGGTCAATGTGGCTGAAGATGTGCGCGGCGTGGAGGTCTATTGGTATGGGGATGTGGTGGTTGAAGTGGAAGACGTGGAACGTGAGGGGTATGTTTTGGAGCGAGTTGTAGAGATTGAAAAGGATTTGGTTGGTTGGCTCCTTATTTTGTACTTTCGTAGTGTTGTTGGTCCTTATGCTCGCCACCTAGTGTGGCGGCGCCTTCGTCGGCCCTTTCCTTGTCAAGGCACTTTGTAGAGTTCAATGATGTATCACATACCGGGTTCTTGGAGATGCAGCGTATATATCCTAGATAGCACGGCTTCGCGACCTTTGACTGCGCTGTATAATAGGACAATGTTAATGATGGGGATTTGGAGGTAGAAGACTCGTGAAGAGTAAGATATCGTCCGGACGAGAGTGTCGAATTAAAAATTCTACATACACGTCTGGACGATAGCTTCAACCAATGCACCACCCAGCGTACCCACCGCCAATATCTTGTCAGCGCTACCAGTGTGTTTAGTCTCCTTGGATTAGCACCCGCGATTGATGCTAAGTCGTACAGCCAATCGCACGCGCTCAAGTGCACGGACCATTACATACAGCCTGCGCGTGTTATGTCTGAACCACCACCACTAGGCACTGTCAGCAATTAAGCGCCGACGGGCCCGGGCGGGAAGTAAAGCGTGATCGACAAGGAGGATATACATAGCAAGTGGTCATTATCATTGGTTCACAAGGATTGAGTGGACCCAAAGCGATTGAGTCGCAGAGCGCTTAGCCCCCGCGCCGCATCGACCCACATATTTCGAAGACTTAACCGCTCAGTCCCTCGTCATTCAGTCTGCTAACCGCGCTTTTTCCACCTTCGCAACAATGGTTCCGTAATCACGACAGCTTTGCACGCAGTGTCCAAATTTCTTGTTGATCAAATCTATACTCGTGTTCGGCAGCTTGTGATGATATCACAATGCCAATCCGACGTCGGAATTCTTTTAGCGGCTTCAACAACTTGGCGTCTGTGGTGGATGACGCCCCCTCACAAATGGCCCCATGTCCTATCCCGAACGGCAATGAGACCAGAATTCCAGTCAGAGGCAGTCCCGGAGACCATTCTCCAGAGCAGAAGGCAGCCCTGGCTTCGATTTCTTTTCGAAGGCGAAGATTCTCTGTCCATCTTCCGATCAATTTTGCTGAGTACAACAAGTCGCATCCCGACTTTTGTCGCAATGACAAAGTGACTATAATTTCCAACACGGCTTGGCTACGATGGATTTTTCCATGGGAGTTTCCCGACGCGGAGGAAATGTGGAATAAACGTCGAAATTTTCCTTGGATGGGCCCATTTGGACGTCCTGTCAGGAAATTACTCGACTCTTCTAAACGCCTGATCGATCGTGGCCCATTCGGACGTCATATCATGAGGGTACTGTACCGTTCTCAAGGCCTGATATTTCGTCGCCTTCTGAAAAGGAGTTCCCATGATCCGAAAAACTTCCGTGCTACCCAGAAAAGATGCATTCGGTGTTCCCGGCGGAGAGCGCCCGCACTGCCTCTATGCGAGAGTTGTCGACACCTGCCGTTTCTCCATCTTTTCTTTTGCGGCAAAGATCCCAAAGATACTGCGATATGCACCACAGTTTCTGATGCGACTATATCAGAATGCCCTTTTTGTCAGTTGATCACCCACATTGCAAGGAGCACTCTCTCAGATACACGAAACGACGTGGGTACACAGGAAATGCGCCTTTTCCTACGTGATACCGGGTCCATGTTGCCACACTGGCCCATTCTCCTACTCTACCTGGAGAGTAGTGCTGGTGATGGGGGTAGCTTCGTTGCCCTCTTCAGCGAGGAATACAATACACGGATATTGGAAGTACCCTTCTCAACGTTAAGCCTTCGTCAGGAAGAATACCACTCACTCGTTGGAAGTGAGATAAATTGGCAAACCATCCGGTCGCAGTTTGCTGGGTGCCTTCAAAGCCATCCGAATTGTCGGGATCCCCCCTCACGACCTCTTCCACAAAATTTCTACCTCATCGATATTTGGAATCAACAGATCGTGCTAGCGAACAGCAACATGGTCTTCGTCGCTCTAAGCTATGTTTGGGGCGATAACCCCGATCCTTCAAAAGTCCAAGCCGAACGCTTGACTCTTAACAGTATCAGCCAGCCCGGAGGCTTACGCTTGGACACAATACCGAAGACGATCCGAGACGCTATGCAGTGTTGCTTATTCTTGGGGCAACGATACCTCTGGGCCGACCGTCTATGTATCGTTCAAGATGACCCAGAAATCCGAGCAGCGCAGATCGACGCTATGGATGCCGTTTTCAGCGCAGCCTTGCTTGTGCTCATCGATGTTTCAGGCACAGACATGGATTCAGGAATCGCTGGGATCTCTAGAAAACGCCATCACGCTCCCACGCAAAAGGCTTTTCATGTTCCCGGACTAGGAATACTATCAAGCCTACTGCCATCTTTGGAAGAGAGCTTGTCAGAGTCCAAGTGGATGACCCGCGGATGGACGTATCAAGAAGCTGCACTAGCCAGACGCAAGCTTTTCTTTACCACCAGTCAAGTCTACTTCGTCTGCGAAACTTCGTCTCGCACAGAAGATGGAACTGAGAGATTCTCAGATGCTGATGGCATCCGCCTATGGCCGGATGACCCCCAGGAGAATCATTTTAACGCGTACGCATTTCACTTGCAAGCATACACTATGCGGTCATTGCGTTACCAGTCAGACATCTGTAACGCTTTTGTTGGCATAGTGCATGCTTTGTATCCTACACCAGACTGCTCAATATTTTCAATGCCACGGCCAGGCTTCAATCGGGCTTTGCTATGGTTCTCAGATGCGGCGCGTTTCGAAACTCAATCCATATTTCCTAGCTGGGCTTGGTCTTCAATTGCCGTCGACATCCAGCACACCCCGAGCTCTCTTGTTTGTGGTTTCATTGCGATGGATTTCTGTGGGGCACTTGTGAGATGGTTCGAGCTTTACCAGTGCGAGGACAAGACATTATTCCTAGCAATCGAGGCTCATGAAGAAGAAAACTATTTCTGGGGGAAGAGAGCGGAGACAATTATGGCCTTATCCTGGTCACTCGGGTGTATTGAACGCCCCCTGCGCTTAGAAAGGGGCAAAATTTACCCTCAGATCGAGTCACGATGGCCAAACTATAGTGACTTCTTTGATCAAGCATTGTCAGGTGGTGACTGCAGTACTGCGAGTATAGCGGTCGATGGTGCTCCTCGATCTGCATTTGTCAACTGCGCTCTCTCATTCGACGGATACTTGAATTCCCGCCTACTCTTCGGTCGCGCTCAAAAGGCATCTTTCAACATTTGCTATAGGCTACCCGATCCCTGCAAGCTTCATACAATCTGTAGCAATGATTACAGCATGTTTTGCTATATTATGGATGATTGTGGCAGACGGGTCGGAGCGCTGTGTTCCAGAGAACATAAGGTGAGGATGCCTAATCGGCCTCCCAACTCGAACGGATGCACAAGACGTCTCACATTCATCGCTCTTTCGATCTCGAATACGAACTGCTTCATCTATTCTACACCGGAGTGGTGCAAATGTAAAGGATGCAAGTTGGACAAGCGGCCAGGTAAATTCAGACAGGAACTTGACGACGACTACCCTGAGCCTATTGTTGACGTTTTGATGGTTGAGAAAAGAGGGGATTTCTTTTACAGGCTCAATTGCGGCTTCATTGTTCTTCAAGCGTGGGTAAAAGCAGACCGAATATTTGAGGATATCGTGCTTGCGTAGACCTACTTATGTCTATTTGAGGTTTGTGATGACATACTGCGCCTATCTTGTTACAGTTAGAGTCTTGCTATAATTACTTCCTTGGCATGGATATGTCTCAAGTGACACGACCTACGTCATCAACTCAAGGAGTGCTTTATTCTGGTATTTTGTTCACTCTGCACCGCTGCATCGGCGGGCTGATTTCCTCCACAGAATAACCGCAGCTGAACATCCAAAAATAGATTGCAGACCTGCACAACGGTCAGCGATTTTGAGCCTCGACGAGCAAGTTCAATGAAGCGGATTGCTCCTCGCATGCCTGTGTGACTATAAACTGCGGTCTGTGCATACGAATCAATACTGTTTCAATGAATGTAGTCGTTGTTTGTGTGCGGGGTGTTTCGTGATCTACGCAAGCCAAGCAAAAATACGAGCGAGGCTGTTCTCCGTCCATCTCCGGCGGCGAATGTTAACTACGTCCACCCTGCTTGACACTGCGCATATAATAATAGTCTGTTTACCTCGTGTACCTTCTACATCTCACACCAGAACCAAACATCCATACCATCTCCATCAACCCTCCTCCAACAACGTCCTCAACGCCAAAATGAAGGTCGCAGCCGTCATCGCCTCCGCTCTTGTCTCCGCCGGACTCGGCTCCGCCGTCCCGGTCGATCCCCGCTTCCCCGACACAGGCCCCTTCAAGATGATCGTCCTGGCGTACGAGCAGCCGATCCACTACAGCTACGTCAAGGCGTCCGGCGGTTTCTTCTACATCGGCAAGGAGACCAACTCCACATGCGGTGATGTCGAGCCGGTGCTCGATGGTCCCAACAGCGCGGGCGCGCTAAACACGTATGGAGATGGAACGCAGGCTACGCAGCAGAGTACGTCATCTCAGAATAACCGATTTCTTGGAGCTTCGATTCTGACTTTCGCATCACAGCCTACATCGACATCTCCGGCGCCGCTGGAGGCATCTTCTCCTACCTCGGGCCTCTGTACAACTCTATCACATTTGACCACGTGACTGACAAGTTCACCCGCGTGGCTGGTCCGGACATCTCGCAGCTGTATTACGACGGTGGCAACTGGCTGGCTTGCCCGACGCAGACCTATGGCGAATATATTGTTTATGCAGACAAGGCGTATGGCCACGAAGTTGGTAAGGAAAACTGCATTCCTTTCGAGATTCGTACGGATAAGGTGGATGAGCCGCAGGCTTGCAAGTACTTGTAGGGGAAAGTTCGGACTCATGTATGAATACCAGTAGTGGGCGGAAAATTTCGAATTGCCTACTCTGATTAGCTGCCGTGAATTTCCCCTGCATCAGCGCTTGCAGCAAGCGCAAGCAGCTTAGAACGGTACAAGCACATGTCATTTTCGGCCCGAACTTCCGTCTTTGAGGCCTTTCCAGAACCTTCATATTAGGCTGGTAGCAATAAGGCTGGATTCACGTCGGATGTTGGTTTCAGCTGACACGCGCAAGCTGCCGCCTAGCTGAGGGGAATGTTTAGCAAGGCTAAAAAGCGCGCCGGAAACGTCACGGGCGGCCTCTGGCTTACATGAGACACGAGAGGCAGAACTTGTAAAAGATGGTGTCCTAAGGATGACGTGCAGCTTCCGGGTCCTTGTTCAAACACAGCGCCGGGAACCAATGGTAAACCGGAATGGTCGATGACGCACTCATCCTCAACTCCGCTACTATCCGCTCCCAGCACTGCCAATAAACACCACTTGTACCGAGGCGAAGCTGCTAAATGGTTTAGCGAATTTCACGTAGTGACAAGTGACGGCGTGAAACTTACGCAGCCGTAGCTCCAAATATTTCGGGTGCCCTAGCCTTGGTCAAGAGCGCTAATGTCAAGGAGAAAAGGGCCGAAAACATCGTTGCCGCGAATATACGTGCCAGAGGGTCGTGGATGAAATATAGGACAATGATGGCCAGAGATGGAATCAGGGTTGACGTCAGAACACTCAAAACCCGCGAGAGTATTCTATAAGGTCGGTCGCACCATCTCACCAATCCTGCTTCTTCATCAGTGCCTTTAACAAATTTCTTGACAGGCCTAAAGCCCCTGTCGTAGAGCCAAGGCATCATCGTTTCTGCAATCCATTGCGTGCATTGGTCATGGTTTCGACTTGAGAGCGCAACGAGGTCTTCTATCTCGGCTAGATCGTTTCGCCATGGGCGGCCTTCGATTCCGACGGGGAAAATGCCATCGCCATTACATAGTGAGAGCCAGCTTCTCAAAGTTGAGAGATCGTGCTCATTAGCCTGGTCGAGCCTGTTGACCTGTGCCTGACGAAGCAGGGCCTCTTCTGGACTATGTTTCAGCAACTAGTCACGGTTTTCAAATCGGAATAACTAACGGTACTCTTTTAATTTTTCTCGGACCTCGACCATTATCCTCCACTGTTGACCCTGGTCTCCGCCTTTCCCTGCTGACTCGATGAAGTCAATTGCACTTTTGTGGAAAGTGCGCCCTTGTCGACGGTCGTCGGCATCTAGCGTTTGCAGCCTTTGTCGAAGGTACAGGAGCTCAGCTTGCATGTACAAAAGATTACGCGTTGACAGTGACGAAAAGCGTGTGAACAAGGCCATTCCAGGGTGGGGACCCATGATCTCCGCAAGCTCCGCATAGCCATTTCGTATCTCGTTTGTGTCTGGAACTTTTTCTGACATGGCTTTGAGGATCCCGAAATATGCAAAAGCATTCGGGACGGCTTGTGATTGAAACCATCGTTGGGTTTAATTATTTGAAGTAATTTACTTGAAGATGATTGTCAGTGAGTCTTACGCATCAATGTAACAATATGCAGGCTTACAACTCGCATATGCCGGGTCTTTATTCCTGTGGTGGCTGATGGACGCGACCCCGCTTTCCCAACGCTCAGCCAAGATGTGCAACCACACCTGCAATCTGCAATTTCATTCCGTCATTCTAGCCTGTTCAAGAGGAGTTTTATGAATCCGTTTAATGCGGCGGCGCTTCCTGGGCGGCATGATCTTGCAGTGATGGAGTTGTGCATCTGGCCAACTGTTTTCCCCCACAGATAAATTCATCTGAAGCCCCAACCGTGGTATTTAAACCCACAAGGCCTCAGCTGTAGAAATCTGCCTTGTTGCCCCGAATGTATGGTTCGATCAATAAACACATGCCAGCAGACTACGTGTCTCCAATAAGAAAAAATTACACTCCGCCTCATTCTCGTCCGGTGAGACCTTTGAGCCTAGCTGCGTGATTTTCTTCATGATGGCAGATGATGCACCAGTTGCCTGCCGGCGTATGCACTGCCTCTGTATCTGCCTGGCAATTGAGGCTCTATCTACGTCTTTGGATTTGCCCCACTAAAGTTTCTGCCTTCTCATTCGGACACGTTCACAATTTTCCTTACAGGACGAGATGCAGACTCGTAGCTTCCAACCATCAAGTGAGACGTGAGTTCAATATAGAAGCTAGACTTCTATCAGCGCCCATGTCCGAAGTACGGAGAGCCAATAGCCCCGACGAGGAAACGCCGATGGTGGATTTTCCCGGCGACGCCATCATCACTTCTCAGAACGGTATGTTATCCCTTAAAGTGCTAGGATGTTTAGTGCGTCATTACTGAAAGCTGGCGGTGTCGATTTGCAACGGCATCTATTGCTGGTTGATCTGGTGGTAACTGTTCTGAACATACTAGACTCGAAAGACCCCGGCGTCGATCTATGTCCTCCAGGAACGGCAAGTGACATGTCTGATTCTGTTTTAAACGAATGCTAAAGCGGCAGCTGGAAGGTAATCTCCTATACGACCGAGAAGCAAGGGCACAAGCACAAGCACAAGCACAAGGAGCGCCACAGGGGAGTTGTCGTGCAGCGCTCTGGCGACGATTTGGTTTGCCTGTAAGATCTTCTGATTGTTTGTCATGGTTTTATTGGCTAACAAGCTTAGACGTATCAGTGCGTACGGAGGTAATGCGACCACCAACCTACCCGAGTCCCAACAACGAAGACATGCGATCGCCTACGTCAAAAGGACCTGTCCTAAACCCCTAAAGAGCGAGCGCGCTCTGTCGAAGTCCATACGGGTAACTCTCAGTAATCCATCGACGAAATGGGACGAAAAGTCACGGTTGGATTATAGCAATGAGATCCGTTTGCAGCGTTCATGGAAGCACGAACGCCTTGGCGAAGTGACACATGAGTCTTTTGAGCGTCTCCTTCAAGAACGGAAGAAGATAAAAGAGGAAGATGAGATGGAAGCCAATCGTCCAGAGACCGAACCGCTCGCAGACAACGTGGCACCAGCACAGCCATCAAACCGACGGCGCAATGCATGGACAAGGCCCAGTAAAAATGGAAAGTCCAGAAAACACGAGCAGGGTAGCACGCCGACACCCGACCATGAGCACGAAGCGAATGTCGCCGACCAATCGGATCCAGCTCCACGGCCGACGCCTACTGCAGCAGGAGTGCCACGACGAAAAGATGCATGGACTCGGCCTTCGAAAGAACAAAAATCTAAGCGGCCCAATAGTGACAGTCGTATGACTTCCTGAATCACACAGTTAGCGCATTCGCTAAGTTCATATAGGTAGCCAAAGCGCCACCAGGCCAACACATGGCAGGGGAGCATCTGAATTCGAATCAACGGTATTGGAGCTCTTGCATCAACACAATAGGTTGCTCTCCGAGTCTATCAGTTCACCCACGCGAGGAGGAACACCTCCGGAGGACGCGTCGACAGCTAGGGATGCACGCAGTGAAATTAACTCTACCCCGGTCGCCCTTTCGAACATGTTCGCCTCCGTAGCACATCCGCTCGACTCGACGCAACCTTTCCTCACCGGAGCCATTGATGACTCTCAGATAACGAACATAATGTTGGAAAGGAGTGAGGTGGAGAAGCTATCACCGACGGTTGAGCACGATGTGTCCGGTCGGGAAACACCCATGCAGATGCCCAGTCGCGTGCAGATAGCACGAGAACAGCAGAGGAGTCCCACAATATCTCCTCTGGGGCGTTCGGACATTGGCCCTGGATGGATCGAACGAGATGAGTCACCGGCTGATTACCAAATTCCTGACAGGGTACCGGACAGTCCGTGGCGAGAAAGGTGCCTCCAAGACCCTCGTTGCACAGCCAACCAATCCGGTAGCTCGTCACAAGGATCATCCAGCCCCGACTCGGACATTGTTCGGGAAGGTGTACAGCAGTTTTGCTTCTTTGACCGGCTACTACAACGGCCGTCCTGGGTCAATGTTCGGCTGGATACAGGTGCAGACGACAACTTCATGTCTTCCCGCGCGGCGCATCGTCTTGGACACGACCGCCGTCAGTACCTGGGTCATGAAATCCGATTAGGCGATGGCAGGACAGTAAAGCCAGAGTACGTCGTCTCGGCAGACTGGAGTACCCCGAAGAAAACAACAACTAGCTGGTCTGACAATTTTGTTGTCCTTGATTCGTTGCCCTACGATGTGGTCATCGGCGTCACTACGATCAATCAGAACAAGCTCTATTATCCGAATCCAGAGATGTTGGACCACCTCGTATTAAGCATCGGTAAGTCGGCTGTTGAGAAGCAACACAAACCTAGAACTTCTGTGGACTGGAAAATGAGCTGAGCTGACTTTCTTCTCCCATAATTCAAACAGATCGAAGGAAGAGACGAGAAGAGGAAGAACGTCGAAGAGATGAGCTCAGCCGTGAGTATGAGGCTGAGCAGGCCCGCCGAATGCGTGAAGAGATTGAGCGGCAGAGGGGGAACAGCCAGAGTGGTCAGAACTATACAGGAGGCGGATCATAGCTACGATCAGAGTTAGATACTTCTAAATGATTTCAATTAAATATTGGAGAATAGAGCTATTTATGTTTTCACATACGCATCACTGCCCGCTCAAAACCCCCCAATAGCAAACACCTTCGCGTCCCTCGTCACCACGTACAGCGTATCCCTGTCCCGCTCCGTCCTCCCAAACTGCGCAGACGTCGGCAGCTCGCCCTCCAACAGCACCTCCGTCTCGCCATCCCTCACCACCACCCTCACCACCAGCCCATCCACCCCGCTCGTCTCGTACGCAACAATCCCGCAGTCACCCTCCTCCCGCACCGCAAAGTCGTCGGCCGCCACGCCACCCGCATTAAGCACGTCGATGGGGCCGGAAGCAGTCTTATCATCCGGATCCGCCCGCACGCGGGCCAGCAGCCGACGGTCGGTGCTGGTGAAGTACAGGTAGCCGTCCTGCGGCCGGTACCGCAGGCCGTTGACGCCGAACGGCACGGCAGAAGCGTTGGCCGGCGGCGGCGCCATGGTGATGTGCGGGTCGTAGAGGAAGGTCGACACCTTTTTTGACTTGAGGTCGACGTGGAGCACGACGCCGCCCGCGCTGTCGGAGATGAGGACGACGGCGTCGTTGCAGTCGGAGTGGCGGGACGCGGGCGACAGCGTCGTCATGCCGTTGAGGAGGCAGCCCTCGCGGAAATGCTTGATCAGCGGCGTGATTTTGGGCTCATCGTCGCAGGTCAGGTCGGCTTCCCAGAGGGAGTACCTCGGGTTGTCGATGTCGGGCGCGTTGCCGGCGATGACGGCGAAGACGTCGGGGGAGGTTTCGGTTATGCCGGTCAGGCCCGGGAAGGGGTCGAAGCGGTGGATTAGGCGGGGCGTCGGTGAGTGGGATGCTGGGTTGCACAGTTCGACTAGGTCGGGTTCGGGGAGCAGGAAGGTGAGGAGGAGGTTGCCGTTGTCGCGCACGGCGATGTTTTCGATCCAGCTGCCGGGGAACTCGTAGACGGTGCGGACCCAGATTCGCGAAGCCAGAGAGCCGGCACCGGCGGTGGCCAGCAGAGCTGCGGTGACAAGAAATCGCATGGTAGCTGATGGGCTCTTGTCTGCTGAGTTATGCTTGGATTGTTGAGTACCACGCGTCCAGGTACTTCTTATATCTACGCAAAAAAGCTTATATCAGACAGTGGAAGTGGTTTCCCATGGTAGTTTGCATTTCCCAGTGTCTGTTCACGGCGTCATCGAGTATCTCCAAATCTGAGCAACTTAGTGCATTCTTTGCAGGCCGAAAGCGATTAAGCTTCCACATTTTCCGGTCTAGGCTAGCACCCGTTCCCCCCTTGCTTTTAGCCAAGTTTCCGCCGTTGTTACCGTCCAAAGGTCAGGGAACTTACCGCCGACGCTAACGTTCTCAAGCGAATCTGTTACTAATGACTAAGCTAAGTTTCCATAGGTAGACAGTCTTGTGCAAGCGTTGGAACAAGGCAAGTGGCTTATCCCTACAGCCCCTCACAGCACCCGCAACACCACGCTATACCGATCCCCCATACCCCGTTGTAACTCCGAACCATGTAGGTATGCGGATCCCAAGGAGCTCCCCTCAAAAATTAGCATTGCACTATCCCAGACTGGCACAAGGACAAAGAGAATCATTTGTGCTGCAGAATCATAAATAATAGTATAATGATAGCGTCCGTGATCTAATGTTACATGTCTTGGTCTTGCAACTAAGGGGAGAGTCTAACTATAAGTACATGGTCGAGTTTAGTTCTCGCTCGAAACGTGTGAGTGGCGTTGTCATAAATTCATACCGTGAACCATTGAGCTTGCGTAGAGAAAAGGAATTCCGAAGCCTTTATCAGAAAGGCCATGTCGCCTGAATCTCTTCAAGCGAAACTCCCTCTTTGATACCGAATTCTATGAACTTTTCTCGCAGCTCCTTGGTCATCTTCTGTACCGCCTCGAAATCAACATCAGGGGGGAACCAGCCTTCAGAAGTAGTATGCATGAGCTTCATAATCCCACGCCGGGTATCTATGTAGGCCTGATACTCTTCAACTTCCTTCTTTGACTTTTCAAGGTAATCCTCGCTGAACTTCAATGGACAGTCGCCGGCCCATCCCATTTCCGTCCAATATTGCGCTGTTCGGATCAGGCAAGGACGAAGAGGCACGGCCCCCCGCTGCCAAGTGCTCCCGCAACGATTGAAGAGTGAGGGGAAAAACCAGGGAACACGTAATGCTCTCTTCATATCATAACCAGAGAACTTCTCATACACCTTAGCCAGGATTTGCATTTCGGCCTTGGATCTTGCGGCATTCTGATCGTCTTCGTCCAGCTCATGGAAGTTCTCTGGGAATTGAGGTTTTGGAATCTCTGAACCGTACTTGTAGTCATCATAGTCGACTTCTAGGAGTGCGGGAAAGCGGGCCTGGCAGAACAAGGGCGCAACAACGCAATATTGCCAATCGATGATTGAGGAAATCTTGGTCGGATCTTCATCAGAAACATAAATGTTTCCCATGTGCAGGTCGGGGTGCCACAGCGTCTGGAAAGCCAAGTTTCCACTGTGGGGATCTGGGTCACTCCTGGAATAGAGAGTCTTGGCCATTTCCAGCACATGGAGTTGCTCTTCAATCGAGCCGCGGGGTGGCCCGTAAGGCACATCTGGTTTGGGGTTCAGTTCGATACGTGCAATCTCTCGATCCGCAACCGCATTGCCGAAAGCAGGCAGAGTGAGCCCTGGTAATAGATTCTCGTTAGTCAGGAATAGCAAGCAGCGTAGTGCTACTCACAGGGTCCTCGATCGAAGCGGGCCTCTATAGCTTCCGTGTCTTCCTCGTGGAACCACTCGCGCTCACAAGACGGTCCGATGCAAAAGCGGCCATCAGGGTCTATCTCTGGCGCTAGAGGCTCGTACTGTTCGCCATCGTCCAGGGACTCCTTGAGGTAGAGACTTCCATACGCAGGAAAATCCACCCCTGCCAGTTTAGCCTCAAGCTCGGCCAGGTTTGCGATGAATTTGAATTTGATTTCAAGATCCATCTCGGCCCATTTCTTGGACAGCCGGCAGCCAGCGGCCTTCTCCATTATGACGTATTCGGCGCCAACTGGATTTGAAGCGTCGGCGCTCCACGTTAGGAGTTTTGGGACCGGGACTTCGGTGTGGTCATGCACTATTGACACCGGAATGATTAGGTGTAAAGCTCTTGATTGCACAAAGGAAGACATACCGTATTGCATGACGGCAGCCTCGGATGCTGTCATGTACTTTGGGGGTCCGGCGTAAGAAAACGGGAGCTTAGCAACAAGCTCGGACCCGTCTTCCTTGGTCATGAGCAATACCTTGCAGTATCCGCTCTCCTCCTTCTCAATTGTGCGGACGGGCGATTTGCTGCCCGTAGAAGCGACTACAGCGCAGAGCTGGTCCAAGTCGAACTTCAGATACCTTTGGTCGCATGCTTCCTTTTCTTTAACCAAAAAGCGACCACCCGTGAATTTGAAAACGTCCTCACGACTGATTGGTTTTCCTATAGCAATTTAGTTGAAAATTCGAATGGGGGTTGGATGGCGCTTACCCCGGCAGAAGATTGAAAGAGTTCTGGATGGCGAAGTCAACAGAACATGCTTGCTTCTCCAGAGTCTTGCGCCGGTGGATGTAACAGAGGCCAGCAATGCCATAATCTGTGTAGACGCTCAAAATGAAACACCAGAGGAGCACGCAGAGTTAAAAATGAGACAGTCTAGTTGCAGAACTTCTCATTGTAATTTTCCAGCGGAGAGCCAGGGCATCAAGATTTGGACAAGCGGAAGCACTGAGATGATGAAAAGAGAGGCCGTAGAGAGACAGGCGAGAGATGCAGATGTAGACGGCGTAGACCTGGCTTATCAATTGCCTGGAGATGGCGGTGAAATGAGTGATGTGTTTCCAGGCATCATTGCGGCGAAGCAAGAAGACTCAAGGTGGGGCTGTTTCACGGAAGCGCTGGGTGACATAAGCAAGGCGCTTGGGCCCACATTGTATACTTAGGTAAAGAAGCCAATGAGTCAGTGACTGCAGTTCAAGCACTCCGGTATTTTCTACTCGAAAAAGCTGAGGATGCGGTTGGGTAGGCAGCAGTCAGTCTTTCAATTGAGGCATCACTTTTAGCCACCCACCCAACTTCTCCATCACTAACATCCTATGAAGATGATATGGCACAGTCAAGAATTGTGTATCGCGAACAATAGCGCTAAAAATTCGATCCTGTGATTTGTTGCCTTGTTTATAGGAATGAATCCCCCGGCATCCTGCCGCAATACGCATCACCATCCAAACTCTGCACGTGTTGCACAACCAGCAAAGGGCGGATGACGCCTGTAGCAATCTCTCAATTCGACGACGCCGTCTCAGCGCCAGCCATCTTCCCACCCGCCATCACCACCTCCAGCGTCTCCGGCGGCGCCATGAGGACCGGATGATCCACGTCTGACACATCCACCACTGCAAGCTTAGTGCCGCTTGTTGCGGACGCAACCACGACCGGGACTTCCGTGGCGGCGCCGGTCCAAGTACCCAGGCCGAGTTCCTCGTGGGCCAAGCGCTGCAGCTGTAGTGTGCCATTCGTTACCCATTCGAGGCGGTGGTAGACGTCGAGGTTGCGCTTGCGCTGGATGTAGGCGACGCATGGCTCGAGTGTGTATGAGAGGATGATGAAGGTGCCGCCGAGCGAGAAGATGATGGCGAGGCCGAGGGTGCTGAAGGATGTGTAGGCTGTGCTCCGGATTTTCTGGATGCGTGGCGACAGGTTGTTAGCGAGTGTCAAAGCCAATTGAAATTAGTCTTCAAGTCTTGCCTGGGCTCCCCTTCTTCCTCTCATGTTTGGTTGTTTTTTCTTTTGGCAAGAAACAAATTTGAGAACGGACACACCTGATTTTCGCACCGAAGCTTTTCTTCCTCTGTTTGCGGCTTTGAAAATAGCTGCTGTGCCTCGACCATCGATGGGCCCGTAGCCTGTTCTGTGATTAAGAGCTGCAGTGCGGCCAGAGTCCCCTGCCACCACAGCTCCACCTCCTTCTCCCACTGGTTGTCTGGCACAGGGTTTGAGAGAGGTCCATAAAACGCGTTGCGGGCGTCGAGCGCCGTTATTCCGAGCATCTGGATGAAGTCGACGACCTCTATATGAGCATCGATGATAAGAGACAGGATAGATTTGGCGTACGTCCGCTGGAGTTCAGACGAGAGTGTCTCGTTCAAAACAGGCCGCAAGCTGGCGGCAGCTGTCAGTGGCGTGCATCCCGTTTTCGGGGGCTTGTTGGGATCGCAGATTTGGTGTTGCATCGTACACGCCATAATGCCGTCTGTGTGGTCCGAAAAGTAGGTCATGTCTCGGCTATCTGGCCACTGTGGATTCACGTTTCTCATCCCAGCCGGGCGGTGCGCGGAGAAGATTGGATCATTGACTTGCTCAATGAAGGTTACGCTGTGGCCTATGACCGCTATGAAGGCAACGTCGGCGTCGTCGGGACGCAGCTCTGGGATGGGCAGCCAGTCTGTCTGTTCGTTGTCAGGGATTCCTCCGCGGTAGGCCATAGCCCTGCTCGAGATGTTGCATCGCATCAGCCAGAGCTTCTTAGAAGACGACTAAGTGATATGTTTCACTTACCATACTGTATAGTCCGAGAAATTGAAGGACAGATCTTCCCCCAAGACCGGCTCCTGCCAAGCTTTCCAGGAGAATGCCGGCGAATCCGTATCATTGCGTCCCATGTTCCCGAAGAAATAAAAGGACTCGACGTTCTCTTCGTTGCCCGGGATTGGCTGTGTGCGTACATAGCCGTCTCTCTTGAGGGGTGCGCATGTCGCAACGCTTCGATACGCAAAACGATCGTCAGGCGCCGCGTTTATCCCAAAGTCATCATGGCTGTCCAAATAACCCGTGTCCAGCTGGAGAACTGAGTTGGTATGGAGGCACATCTCATTCGAGAAGGGGCAGGAAGCATTCAGTCGTTTGGAGTACTGTAACCTATCCTTGATGTATGTCTTGCAATTCTGCTTCAGCACGTTTCCATTGTAACAGTATCGGGCGTAGTTCAGAGATGCGGCCCCCTGCTGGCTCCAGTAGGATGAAGATAAAGATGTGAGGTTAAGCGGAAGTGGTTGGACAAAATATGCTCTGCAGTTGGACCCCTTCAGGAGAACGTCGTCACCGGTCGAGGTCGACACCCGAGATACGAAGATGCTGGAGACGCTGAAAGCCAAAGCAATCAAAGCTGCGAATGCGATCATAGGAACCAAGCGGCTAAGCACTTGACGCTGGTGGGCTCTCCAGGCCCAAGCCAGCAAAAGGAAATTCCGAAGCCCGTTTGCGCTCGTGGTCGCGTTCCGTAGAACTGCCTGCGTCTGGTGATATATGCCGTCTTGCGGGGCTTCTGAGGACGAAACCCAATGCAAGGCGAAACATATCAGCCTGAAGAAACTTGTTCCTGCTATAGTCACAAACAAAGCTAAGGATGCTGTGAGAATCTGGCCCTCTTGACGCGTGAGAGTGATGGTAGCGCCGCCGATTCGACCACGGCTCCAATTGATCCACGCTCCGGTGTAGACACTGTCTTCGTCAATACCCTGGTTGGCCAGTTGGTCCATGATGTCTGAAATTGCTAGAGTAGAAGAGGCTATATGGTATCAGATGTAAGAGGGTCGGGCCTGCGCAACAAGCTTGTGCTGTGCATTGGATGATTGATGCTGGACTTGCAAGGCGACACTCGAGCTTTTATAGTTGATATCAGTCACCCATTAGGGATGCTACCCATAGCTACGCTCCCTCCTTCGCCTTCTGATACACGGATCAGTCGGCAAATGCCCTCGGCTATCCCAAGGCTAGCAACCCATATGAAGATTGACATCAGTGGTCGGGACTGAGCCTAAGCCTTGGAGCTTCTGCACCTGCCAACGCACCCCATAGGTCTGCTCTATCAGCTCCGATTACACCACTTCAGCGAAAACTGCCTTCCAGTCTGCCTTTCAGGGATATGTTCTATACACGGTATGATATGCAAGCCGGAGAACCGGTCGAGAAGCCAGAGATGATCTGCAGAATAACTTTACACTTCCTCAAATGCAAGACTTGCGGTGCTATTCACTGCAACGTCTCCCTGTCAAACGTATTTATGAAATCGACCTTCTGCAACAAGTTAAGAATAGAAAGCCCAATAGTAAAAATTATATTTGGTCTTTCAGATGCTGTCGTCGCACAATTTTCCTGCTGTTACCGTTGGGCATCAAGCAAAAAGAAACAGAATGGGCTTACGCCTCTTCCTACCAGGGTCTTGATTGGGACCCTCCCCGGCAGTTCTCCCTTGTCACTGTCCAAAATACGAAGTCATGCTCGGCTATTATATATAGAAAGATAGCTGTCCCAAAATGCAACCAATCATATTAGGATTCTGTATGGCTTATGGCTGAAGAATTCATGGCTGAAGACCCCCTGGTAGATGCAGGGCGGAACTCGGCTTGGCATCCGACCCTCTCTGCCTCCCCCACGGGGCCCGCCGTCAACAATGCGGGCGGTCGACCAGCCATTTAGATAATTTAGCAAAGCCATCCAATACCAATAATGCCGCAACACGTCAAGTTGCCAGTGGCTCCGATAGGCAGAGTTTCTGGTTGCGAACGCTTTTTTTCTTTTTCGACAAGCGGGTGCTGCCATTTCGAAAACAAGTTATCCGTCAACCATCCCACGCAAGTTATCGCGCATTTATCTTGTGGGCTAATCTTTCAGCCGAGCCTTGCCAGAGCTTGGAGAGTTTCAGAAGTTGTTTGTGAGTATGCTCTACAAACTGTGCTGGCATTCTAATCAAACACGCCTTAGATAACCTTCTAATCTGTTCACAGCTTTATTATTACATTGCATTGTTTCAAAACATACGCTCCTAAACTGATAATGGCGTGATCTAACCGCAGATATGGCTCGTGCACCAAATGTGACTGCCCCCAGTATGGGACGGGTCGGAAGAAGACCTTTTCAGCGCCTGGAGTGCCATGATCACATAGAGATGTGAATTTATGTATGATTGTACATGCCATCGGGAAGAGCATTAACGGACGCAGTTCACACGTTTGGAAACTTGAACACAGTTAAAGCTTTTGAGGGGGTGTCCGTCATTTAGTTCGGATATCAACACACAGAGGGAGTAAGGTATCAAAGAGATCCCATGCCTGACCCGAGAAACGGTATAAACCTACTTGACCGTAAACGACAAAGCTGTGTAGTTGGAAACAACTGATTCATCGGATATGAAGGATTACCGGATTTCTTTTCTCGCTTATCCCTGTTTGGCCCCCGCCAACAGGACCACATCCGGGCTCCGTCTCACTCTCGTCGGAGGGTCGGCGAAGGATTCGTTGCTGACAAAACACCGCAACCCCTCACCTCACGATATGAAGGGTTGTGTGTGCGCCTCACATCCTCCTCTCACTCCACTCACACACTCTCCACACAATCCACACAACCTGCAAAAAGAACAATGGCGCACACAATCCTAGTAACGGGCGCAACAGGCCGTCAAGGCGGCGGGACCACCCGCGCCCTCCTGGCCCTCGCATCCGAGCGCAACATCCCCGTGACCATCCACGCCCTCGTCCGGGACCCCGCCTCAGACGCCTCCAAAGCCCTCGCGGCGCTCAGCCCATCCGTCAAGCTGTTCCCGGGCAACTTCGACGACCCGGCCTCCCTCAACGCCGCCGCCGCCACCTGCACGGGCGTCTTCATCAACGTCAACCCCAACTTCACTGCCCCAGAAACGGAACTGCATCACGCGCGCAATATCCTGGCCGCCTGCAAGGCCGCGGGCACCGTCACGCGCGCCGTGTACAGCTCCGTGTCGGTCCTCAGCAGCGAGCGCGCGCTGGCCGAGCTGGACGCGTGGCCCGGCATGAAGTGGTACATGCGGTCGAAGAAGGCGATCGAGGACGAGGTGCGCGGTGCGGCCTTCCTCGCTGACGGCTGGACGCTCCTGCGCCCCGCCATGTTTTTCAGCAACTTCCTGCCGCCCGGCGTGGCGTTCATGTATCCGCGCCTGGCCTCGCACGGCGAGATCCGCACCGCCCTGGACCCGCAGCTGAAGCTCGCGTGTCTGGATCCCGACGACATTGGCCGCTTTGCGGCGAGGGCGCTGATCGAGCGCGATCAGTGGAATGGGAAGATGATCACGCTTGCGGGCGCGCACTTGACCATTGGCGAGATCGCGGAGAAGCTGACGGCTGCGGTGGGGGGCAGGAAGCAGGTCAAGGTGGTGCCGTATACGGAAGAGGAGCTTGCCGCTAAGGACAACGTTCTCATGAATTCAGAGTTGTACAGGAATGAGTATCGTATCAACGTTGATTTGGACGAGTTGAGGAGCTACGGGGTGCATTTGGGGACATGGGAGGAGTTTGCTGAGCAGCACAAGAAGGGCCTTGAGGCGGGATTGGGCTTGGCTTGATTATGAAACTGTAGCTCCATGTTTACTATTGTGCTATGCGCAAAAAAGTGCGCTAGCGATATTGTGAGGGCCGACGAGGCAGGTAGGGAAAAATGTATCTGCGGACTTGTACATACACCTGCCTCTTCTACTTCTCTTTATCATCATTATAACACGGCCTGTATGCTTTAGTTGTTCATTGTAGCAGAATTATTCTTGGTATGCATCCATGTCTGATAAGTGCGCAGGATGTGCAAGGATTGTACAGTGCAGGTTTTTGTTTTAAATGTAAACTGCGGAGGAACTTGCATTATAAAAACAGGACACCGTCGATACTTCTTTTAAATCAAACGGATAGTCCTATGCTGGAGTATTGATCGGGAAGTACTGGCGAATAGCCGACTGAGAAATAAATGCTCGCCGGGCGCACGAGCCATGACAACTCGGCCCACATTCTTTGGGCCAAGCGTCAGGCAACAGGATCTCTCCCCCACTCTAGGTAGTCCCACCAGTGGATCAAAAGCTTTCGTCCTATTGGATGATTATATCAACAGTTTTTCCGAGGTTCACGGAAATTTCTCGTTCTTAAACAAGGAACAAGTAGGTTATCAGAAGTTTACAGAATTCCCACAAATCGCTCCAAGAATCTTCAACGGTCACTCGAATTAAATTCCCAGAATCACTGTTGGCTTTGTTGGTACTCAGAAGACTTTCCGGGTTGTTCTCTTTCCCCCACAGATAATCTCAAGGCAAATTCTGGTAATATAAAGACTTGTACAAGTTTAGTATAGTGTCGTGACTAGCGCAAGGCTAACACATCTCTAATCGCAGGTTCATCAACATGGAAACCAATCCGATGCCTTATCGCGAGACTCATGAAGCCGCTGGCAGCCAAAAAACTGATACCGACAAACTTAAGGTTATAGGGAATGAGAAAAATTTCTGGCTATGGTCCGCTGAAGAAGGGTTTGACCTCACACACCCGCCGACACCCAGCTCGGAACCTATTCGCCCCCGGATCCGGATGGAGACAGCCAATGCTCCCATCACCATCTCTCCAACCAAAACCGCGCTCATCATAATTGACATGCAAAACCTCTTCCTCGCCCGACCCCTCGTGCCTCGGTACGAAGGCCACGATGCAGAGGAAGTCTTGCTTCGGCTCGGTATCCCGGCTGCACGCAAAGCTGGAATACAAATCATCTGGCTCAACTGGGGACTATCAGAAGATGATCTGAAGACTGCGCCTCCAACCGTTATGAGAACATTCGGATTTAACAACGACGGTACGTTGAGGCCGGGCAGAGAAGTTGGTGTCGACCTCGGGCAAATCAAGCTGGACAGTGGTGAAATAGTTCAAGGCGGGAGACTTCTCATGCGGGATCAATGGAATACTGAGCTGCACGGGGGCTTGGGAGAAGCGTTCCAGGATGGCTTGAAGGCCTCGCGTCCAGACCTTCGCATCCACAAAAACAGGATATCGGGCATGTGCGACGCAATGACGGACTGCACTGACTACCTACTTGAGAACGGGATTACAACGTTGCTGTTTACCGGTGTCAATACGGACATATGTGTGCTGGGAACACTTCAAGATGCAAACTCGAAAGGATTCGATACTGTTTTACTCAAAGACGGCTGTGGAACTCCTAACGGCGAGTCCGCCAAGATAGCTACCGAGCGGAGCTGCAGCAGACCTTGGGGCTTCCTCTCAACATGCGAACAGTTGTGGCAAGGGGTTGAAAAAATGGATCTATAATGCCGTTATGGTAGTCATATCCCTTTTGAATCTCCCATACTCTCTCCTATATATGTTGTCTTGCTGATATATTCCTATGACGAGTTTCTAGTGTATCTAAAAAAGGTTTGACATGCGTTCGATACTCCTCTGATGAAAAAACACTTTTATCTACGATTACTCATGTCTCTGTTTCTCATTGGAGCTGTATATTCCGGACCAGGGGTTTAAAGACTTTTAAGAGTCAATAATATCCCTCTGTAGATACCTCTTCATCCCCACCTTATCCTATAACCGCACGCGCAAAGCGTTCGACGCTAGTAAACCTTATCTATTCGAGGGGGGCGAGCGACGGGTGGTTTATTGTCAGATCTCAGGGTGTTGCTTTATTGACTGCCGAGTTTAATTCCCGTATTCTTTGCTTTTTCCTCAACACCAAGGCAGATACCTTGTTCGTATCACCACCAAAACGTCATCCGTTCATTTTACTTTATGTCATCGCCCCAAGCAATTGGTGTATATATACAAGTGGTTTCGCCGCTGCGTTCATTCCTCAGCACTGTTCAACATTTATTAATTGGTACACCTACCTCTTGATACCTCAATACTGGGCGAATTACCTTTTTAGGCTTAGTATGTCATCACCCAGTGTAAAGAAGTCCTTTACACAAGACAAGACGAGACGATATATGACGAAGATAAGGTGTGATGATTACTAATCTGTTGACGATTCAGTACCGACCCGTCAACCGGGGCAGGATCCACCTTCGTGATCATTGCTGACTGCCAAGAAAAATGTGCGGCGAGCAAACGTGGCCCGCATCCAGCTGTCAAATTCTGCTCCACTAGTTTCCACCCTTAAGCGCTTCAAAATTCCTCTATCTATTCATCGATCCTCTTTCACCGTAACGTCCCATGGACTACCACGATGAACAAAGTTCGGAGGTTCTTCCGACAGTTCCTTCGGCAATGACAACGAAAAGCCCCGCTCTGTCCGTAAAAGCCGCAGCTCCCCTCTGCCTGCAGCCGTCGGCTCTCTCCTGCGCACAACAGCCGCCGGATCTCTTCTGCGCGCGATGCAGCACCATCAAGTTCAGAGAAGCCCTGTCAGCACCTAATTCCTACGTGCATTCCGATATCTCAGGAGAGCTTTCGCCTTCAGAGGATGTAGATGGGGAATCGGCCTGTCCAATTTGCCAAATGATGGCCATAGCCCACCCGGTCAAGAGGACAAGTCGCCGTTTAGTCGTTTGGCCCGTCGATTCGGAGTATTCGAGGCTCTACTTCAATCTCGCACATATGAGGTCACTCCTTGGCCCCTTCTGTTTTGATGTCGATACCGCCAAGGATTCGCACACAAAGTGGCCTGACCGAGGTGCCATAGCTGTGCTCGCGGGCCGCAAAAGTAACAGCGACATCCTCGAGAATGCAAAGCGGATTTTCAAGAGTCCTCAAGTCGACTTTGAAATCCTACGCAAATGGATGGAATCATGCCAAAGCAACCATTTGACAAGCTGCGTTGAGGACAGCGGACTAAGAGTCACTGGACTGCGCCTTATCGACGTCGATACGCGAGAAATAGTTGAGGTCACAGGGTCAGTCAAGTATGCAGCGCTATCATACGTCTGGGGGCAAGAGGAGCATATCGCCGACAAGGACACGATCACTGTGCCCAACCCGGCACCGAACACTGTCGAGGACGCGATGAAGGTTTCGAAAGAGCTCGGTCTTAAATATCTCTGGATCGATCGCTACTGCATTTCCCAACGCCACGAAGAGCACAGACATTCCCAGATCATACAGATGCATTTGATCTATAACAATGCTTTCGTTACGATTATTGCGGCATGCGGCAATGGTCCTGATCACGGTCTTCCCGGTGTCATGACTCGACCACGCCGGAGCCACCCATTCGCCGTGATCGACGGGCGCATGCTCGTAGCAACGATGCCGCATCCAAAATCCGCTATCGAGCGCTCTGTATGGGCCACCAGGGGCTGGACCTATCAAGAAGCGATATTGTCTCGCCGGAGGCTCTTTTTCACCGATCATCAGGTGTATTTTGAGTGCAACGGCTCTTCGGCGAACACGGCTTATGACAATGTTTTGCAGCGATTGCTCAACGCGAAACCACCGGATCTGCCACCTCCAATAAGAGACCGAAAGGTAGATCGCCGCCCAACATTCCGCACGCCCGCTCGGTTGTCCGCGAATATTTTCAAGCATATCGAGGACTACTCAAAGCGAAAGTTTTCGGTTCAGGCAGACAGGTTTTATGCGTTTCAAGGGCTGCTTCAAAGCTTCACGAAAGCCAATCGCATCAGAGGTCACATCTGGGGAATCCCTGTCTTCAAGGATACCACCGATTTCCTTGAACATATGTGTTGGACTCTGAATGCGCCTTCCAAACGATGTGGGACATTTCCAAGCTGGTCCTGGGTTGGTTGGCAAGGGGTCGTTCAGTCCGAAGAGCCCGATTTGCAAGATAGTCTGTGGTTGGATGAGCCCTCAATCGAAATCCTGTCTGGGGCAAGCTCATATGAAGATATACCAATGTGTATTGGGCCTATCGAAGGAACGACAGTATCCTTCAAACTTCGCAAAGGGGGGAGCATAAGCTTGGATGAATTATGCAATCACTGTCAACGAGGAGAAGTCCCAAAGCTATCCCGTCTGGTACAGATCGTAGCACCAGTGCTACATCTCGAATTCGAATACGGATCTACAAAGAAGAATTGGTGGGCAGTGACGACATTGGCGGGAGTCAGGCTTTCATTGCGGGTTGTTTTTGACATACGTGTCAACGAAGGCTCGCCGCTGTTTAGGAAGCTGTTAACGGAAAGATGCCCTGGATTGATTTTGAAGCGCGACAGAAATGACGTTCTCACAGTTTTGGTGCTTGAAAGGCACCATAGATTCTCTGAAAGAATCGGGTGGCTCAAGATTACACCCGATGACTTTGGTCTCAAGACGCCTTCCGGGATTGCACGAATACAGATACCCATGCAACGGGTAACACTGAGGTAATGGCCCAGGGGGACAGGAATATGGAAACAGCTAATGTGGCTTCAATATTCTTATCGAATTTGACTACGATCATTTTCCTACGGCTAGTACATTACTAGTGACTTACTCAGTTTGCGCTCCCGAAAGAGCAAAAGAGGCTGGACTTCTGGGAATAGGCTTGTTAATTGGCAATCGAGGCAATCGGCTGAAATGGCTTGTTGACAGCAGAGTAGATGTTTGACGCGGATAAGTATTGATTCCACTTCCCCAAAACTCCACATTTCGCGTCACGGGGTTGCACCGAACTGTCTTTGCTACCAATCATCCGCATATGATGGAGAAGTGGCGAGATTGCATTTACTGTTCTATATACGCCACCGTTCACTACGTTCCTCGCCTTATAAGTGTATCACATTCCGACCGCGTCATCCCATCAGGTTGACCTTCAGCCGATAAGTCCTCTTCCGACTGGAGTAACGACTGCGACGCAGGCAGACCGTCCATACGTCCCGGGCACGCGTCTCCTTCCGTTAACCCCTGACCGTGCTGGTCCTCCGCCGGCCCCTCACCCCCATCCTCTGGCGGTTCATTCCAGCCAGCAAGACGAACATCCTCCCCAACATCGATGCCCCACCTCCACATCCTTCCCGACCCCATCCCCGTCCTGGATGAATTGTCGTCAGGCTCGATCCTCCACCACCCCAACCGCGCGACCTCTTCCCACACATCAGAGTCACTCACGCGCTCGACGCCCTCAGCGCGCAGCCGCCGCACCAACCTACTACCAGCCAACAGCGCGAAGCGGGCGGCGATAGAGTCCGGTTCCTTCGGCAGGACAACATCATCACTACCGCCGAAGCGCCAAAACGACAGCAGGACGCTAGCCAGCACGAGCGCCAGCAGCGCCTCGAGCACGGCGGTCGTGCGGCGGTCCTGCGCCACGCGCGCATGATCAGCCAGCAGGACACCTGCAACGTGCTGGACCGATGGCGCAGAGACGTTGGTCAGGGCGCGGGCGGCGGGGCGGAGCTGCGCTAGCATCTGCGTCGCGTAGGCCGTGTACACGTCTTCGCTGGTACGGGCGAGCTGCGCGGGGTCGAGGAGGGCGGACAGGTTGCCCGAGTGCGAGGAGAAGGCGGCGAGCAGCTGGAAGGTGTTGATGCTGCCGCCGGACGTGGGCCAGAGCGTGGTGCTGTTGAGTGTGCCGCCGATAGACTTGTCGAAGAAGCGGCCGCCCCAGCCGCCCCAGGGCGCGAGGCTGTCGAAGAACGAGGTGGTTTTGTAGGGCTTGATGTATGTGGTGGAGCTGTGGTCGACGCGGGATGGCGTCCAGAGGGTGTGGGACGATGGCGGGTTGTTGTCCTGCTGCGTGAATGATGCGTCGATTTCGACGAGGCTGATGTTGCTTCTGCAGAGGGCCATTCGGAGGGTTGGAGCTTTGGTGCTGCGTGACTCGATTGTGACCGTGATATGGGCACCGGAAGCATTGGTCGTTTGTGGCTGGACGGCTGTGAAATCGGCCAGGAGTATTCCCATTGTGGCCGGTGATGGGAAAAAACAGACCCCCGTATATGGCTGAGGAATGCATGTAGGATCACCACCGTCGAGGGTGAGATATGTAAGATTGTTGAGTACCGAGGGTTCATTCAAAAGGGTCATGTTTCGGCATTCAGCGGCTGTACACTGAAAGTCGAACATGGGCGTTTCGCATCTGTCGTTTTCCAGCTTCGTGACAGCAAATCCGTCTTCAGCAATGCTACTGCACCGAACGTCCACGGCTATCGCAGGTACACGGGCCCGTACCTCGTAGCCTGCCATTGACTCGTAACTAGACACATTGGCAAATCCAGTAAAATTACTGAGGACGATGTTGTCGACTATGCCAAAGCTTTGCCCAATGTTCGAGTTGGAGGTTACAATCCAGTCTGTGAGCTTGGAGGCATGATCCTGCGTTTGGAGCACTTGAATAGTACTATCGAAAAAGAAATCGTCTTCAAGATGGTCCAGGAGACTCGTGTCCATGTCCACGGTGACATTTGTTTGCGTAGTGAGTATCTGAACATTCGCGAATAGTCCTGCAGAAACGATCTTGATGAATGGAAAGGTCAGGACTGTCATGGACGAGACAATGATAGCGAGGCCTGATTTGATGCCAGTTGCACGGAATGGTACCCAAAACGTAGGTGATTCTTTCCATCCAAGAAGTAGAGGCCGTCGCCTCGGCGAATTCCGAAGACTGCTATATGAGTTTAATGATTTGATGGAACCATCGATTCCAGAGCAAATGTAGCTCAGTAATAACAGTAAAATGGTAGTAATGTAACCAAGGGTAGCCTGTGTTGCGGAGCTACTGCTACTCAGGCCGGAATACCGATCTGAAAATGACTGCAGAATGGCAAGCGCAGCAATGGCTATTGCTATAACCAAAATCGTGCACCACTTTGCCCACTTCCTAAACGCAAGCGGCTGCCACCCTGAATTTGTGCTTTTCTCGTGGTGATCTGTTATCGATTCTCTGGACATCGTGGCGTCGTAATGCATCTCAATCTGCGGCCGTGAATCGGACGTAAATCTGCATTGCTGTCCACACAGTGCATCTCGAATGCAGTTATCCGAAGTGGTGCTGTGCTGGGTGAAGAAGTCTTCTGTACGCGGGTCTGATGTCGCTAATGTGACTGCCGCGGCTGCCATAGACGCTGGACTTTCCTGAAGGTGAGAACGCGGCCGGATAAACGAGGAAAGTAGCATAGCAGTTACGCAAGCTAAAAGCAAAAGAGCTTGTAGTGCTCGTAATGCTATTGGTTGAATGAAAAGTCGTGACTCCTGAGTTGTACACGATCCTGAGATTGGCTGTGACTCGTTCTTCTTACCAAGCATATTGATAACTTGCGAAAGTATTTCGTTCCCCAGCTCTTCTACTTCGCTTCTGAAAATGTCAGTATTGTCGAAGTAAATGTCCACGGTCTCCTCTAGCCGGCCGTCTGTGAGAATCTCGAAGAAAGAATCAAAAGCAGTCTGGCCAGCCGCAAGCTGTCTGGAGACATTTACCACGGTCTCCATGTCTGCAGATATCGAAGTTGAACTCAACCCCTGTTGGAAAAGCAGAGAAGTTGGATTGTTGAGGTAAATCCAAATCGCTTCCGTGGACATCAGATGATTGATCGAGACAGGCTCAGAGAGTACCCTATAGTCGATAATGTCGCCGGATGATGCATTGGCCCGAACAGATGGGTTTTGGGCGGTAAAGACCGTGTTGCACATGAGACCTGTAGCCTTAAAGAGCGTTGGAAACCCATCCTCGTCCACTCGTGTCGGTTTCGCGATGGTAGCCAAGAAGAGTTTGTTGTCACTATCCTTGCTGCAAGTCGTGACATTGGTCCATCCCAGTGTATGCAGAGCTAAAGAGATTCCGACATCTCCTACGAGCTGCAGTGTTGGACTTTGGCAGCCACGCAAGGACAGATCCGTGGCATTGGCCTCGAAGTAGTATCGCATCAGCGTATCGTTCGGATATGGCGGATATCCAAGTTTATCGCAGTTCAGCCCGGCCCATATGGATGACACGGTTGCCTCGATGATTGACGAATCAGGGACTGGGTTGGAAGGATAGCTAAATGATTCGAAAGAATATCCATCCTTGGTCCAAGCGGTGGCCTTTCCTCCGTATAACCTTTTCACAGTCACTGCTGCGTATGGCTGGTTCCCGAGGTGTCCGAGTGGCATCGCGATTTCACCTTCGCGAGAGACGAAGGCATTCTCCAAACTGAAGGTTGAGGTCTTCACCAGCTCATGAGTTGTTGTAGTTATTGCAGCTGGGTTGGTGTATGTAAGAATGTTGGCGAGGGCGACTGATAATCCGGCAAAGAGGATCATGATAAGGACAAGGAACATGGCCCAGTGCTTTCGCTTGCACGTCTTGACAATGGATGCCACCTCGATCCCATTAATGTAGTTCAACGTGAGTGTGTCTGCCGGATCCGTCCACTTTTCACTGGTACTCATTACAGACCACGGCAGAACCATCTTGATATCCCCGGCTAAGGCTTTCCACATGAATCCCAATGCGATGGTTGCAGCTGTGGGAAGGTACCGAATAGGTAGGATTGCGTAAGCGTTGGGAGTTGGGATTCCTTGATTCTTGGAAACGAGGATATCCAAGATCTCAAGAATTGCCGCTAATAGTAAAGATAGAAATGCCAATGAAAGGGCCCAGGACTTTCGCAACATTGAGGGAATCCATTCTCGGTGATTAGATTCTGTGGTCTTCGCCATCTTGTAATCAATGGCCTTTCGTAAAGATGTTCAGAAGTTTGTGTTGCAGGGATTGCTTAATTTAATCGAATGAACAAATCTGGACAAAAGAGCATATATACCTCTTCAATGTCAACGGCTGCAGCCTGGACTGGCAAGTACGTCAGGAAGGGATTTCCGATTGCAGCTGAGTTGAATCGTTGAGTGTGGCTTGGCGACAAAATTGTGTTTGTGTTACACCATGGCGGAAGGCTGCCATGCGTGCTACCCTCCCATGCGAGGTTAGGTGGGAACCAAAAATAAGCTGCATTGCCCCCGCAGCCTTGTCCCGTTACACGCGACGGAGTTCGAAAAACGAAAACCAACGTATAAGCAAGAGTTGTATGTATCATATAGGGAGCAAAATGATTTAGTAGACATCAAGTTACTGCCCGATCTTCTATAGTAAATATATTGTATATACCCATATGTTGTCGCCTAAAATATGAAGGGGACGGTCTACGGTCGTGTATCACTCCAAGCCAAGAATATCTTTATACTCTTGGCATGTAACCAGCACGAAGCGTGTTTGATAGGGTCCCCCACACTTGGGACAAAATAGGTATGACCAGGCACCGCATGAGTTGTTTTAAGAATACGTGCGCAAGGGTACCATTACGTCCCGTTCAGGCTACCCTAAGCCCCTTGCCTTCACAGGAAAATTTGGCCGCCGAGTCGGCCTGTTGAAAGTTGTTTGAAGAACACAGTGTATTCCATGAACATGGTGGAGTTGTATTCCTGTCTTAGAGCGCACGGGGCTACCGTAATAAACTTTGTGAATGAACTTATGGTCGATTGGCTGTATTTCAGCTCTTAGATACCCGGGCCCAAGCAATGCGCCAACTCTACAGGCCGATAATTCAACAAGACTGCTACACACACAAAGTTACTTACCCAAATGATAACAGCAGCGAGTTCGACAATCTCTTTGCGTAATACACAGTACCAATAGTGAATAATAGTGCATCGTAATGGGAAGTATATTTACTTTACTGTTCAATGCGATTCATGAAGATTTGCGGTTAGCGTTGTTTCTGCTTTCGGGACGTTTACCATCCGGGGATGACCTGCCACTGCCCTGTTGGGTTAGCGCACTGGACGTGGGGCAGGAAGATGCGCCCGCACCTATCGATCGATCATCATCTTGACCACGCCACTCATTTGATTCTTGCCGTAGACACGCAACACCAGCTACAGATCTTGGTGTGCAAGAGGTGTCGGCCAATAGTAGCCGGAAACGCGGCTGGTCTCTGTCCACCGACTCCTCGAAGGTGACGTGTCCACGTTGTCGGCGTGGCAGTGTCACAGTCGCTGGGACAGCACACCCACCCCTCCATGGCATTCAAGACGCCGCCGATATGACACCGATGCCGAAGTCAATTTCGCTGCGGGCGACTAGGTTTTTGTTTATTTTATTTTTTGCGACATCGCCTGCGACCGGATAAAATGGAAACATGATTCTCGACACCGGTTTTTATTCCCTCGTGGAGCCTCATCCGGATTCTGACACTGGCATTGGTCTCACCTTCAACATGTTCCAGTCCCGACAATGTTCTGACTGACGCCTTTTTTGTGTGCAGTTCGAAAGTTGCAGGCGAGGACCCTGAAACCCGGGGTTTCTGACGTGTACCTAAGCGATAATTTGTGGCTTGCGGTATCGTGTCGCTTCTGCGCAACTGCGCACATGGAGGTCGCAACAATTACGAAAACTCCTTTAATTACTATCAGCCATGCAGTCCCACATGTTGTTGAGGGAGTGGATTTCTTCGCTTCTTCATCACCGTGGTCCCCTCATTTCCCCTGAAAACCCCCCCAAGCACATTTATACTTGAAGATTTCTGATAGCGATGTCGGTTACTCAGATGAGTTCGGACTTGAGCTGGAAGGCGTCGCTTTCAAGCAAACATCGGAAAGAGTCGTTACCATCATCGAAGCAAAAAGACAGTAAGCGGTCATCTCATCGAAAATCCAAGACAAAATCCAGGAAGACGGAAGACAATGACCCTTCTCATGCCAAGAAGTCACCCTTCACCTGCAATTGTGAAAACAGAGAATGGGACTTCGATGAGACCGGCCATCCGTTTTGCCGGACATGCAATCAGAAGCCGGCGGCTCTGAAGACGATTGATCCGAATGCACCGGATCCCCGCATGTCCGCCATGGCGGAAGGCAAAAAGGGTGTTTCAAGTACACTTGAGAAGTCTCTGAGAGACTGTCCCCCTCGGTCGCCATCTCCAGACACGGCG